TGTTTTACCGTGCCTTACCGCGATGCGGACCCGACCTTAGAGAATCATAGAGTGACCTACGAGTAACCCCGTAGTGAAGATTTTGGTGGTAGTGGTAGGACTGGCCTGTTGAATGTGTATGCAGTAGCTGTTCGTAACTATTTTATACGTATATCGGGTATATATACATCGAATAGTAAATCCTGAATGGGTTCATTGACAATGATTTTATGGTTGACTTCAGACTGCAAAAATCAAATCTCTACCAAGACGTTAACACAATAATTGTCCCAATGACAATTTATTGCGAAATATTCACACAAACTGTTTACAAAACTTCAGTATGTGTTTCACACAATGGTAGATATTTCAAACTTGACCAATACAATATTCAACAAAATAATATCGAAATCATGATTTTCCTAACAACGTGAACTTACATCGTTTGAAATTCAAACTCTATTTCCTAAATTTTTCCTAACTGTAAATGTTCAGTTGTTGTTCAGTTTGTTTTTTAATGATATTGGGCAATTTTCAATAAAAACAGAAATTTATCCCGAGGATAATATATTTCTAATTGAATAAAATGTTTTATTACTGTATTCAGTACAGCAATTATAGGACCTTTTCAGTCTCATAATGGGAAATTTTCATGAACAACTTGGAAATTGAAGTTGAGTTATCACTAACTCAATAATTTCATAGATGACTTCTCAGTATATTTTACTAAGTGATGATGAATCTACCACAAATGTTTGAGAAAGATAAACTGAGATAGACCTTCCAAAATCTGATAAATAAACAAAACTAAATCAATAGAGAATTTGCTGAAGTGTAATAAGGGGCAAACCGAAAAGTTTCGGTGCAATATAAACCACTGAAGAGTCTAATTAGTCAGTAGATAGTCGATGTTTCGGAAAACATCTTTTTCAGTTTTCATAACACAAAAGATCACTTGAAAACTTTCAGCTCAATATACTTCTTTGTATATTTATATATTTCCTTTGACATACAGATTGTGGAAGGCTATACACCCAAAAACAGGACATTTGACTCTTCTACAAAGAAATGTCTTTCAAATGATATTTTCAATGCTATTTATTACCTTCTGGAAGATATAAATTGATTTTATCATGATTATGAAGAAAATAAAACAGATATTTTCGAACTTTTTTGAATGTTTAATCAATAGGATAAAAAATCAGAACAAATACTCAATGCTTACTTAACATTCAATGAATATGAAGAAAATAAAACAGATATTTTCGAACTTTTTTGAATGTTTAATCAACAGGATAAAAAATCAGAACAAATACTCAATGCTTACTTAACATTCAATGATTTTCCACTGTTGAATTTGTTTTTCTATATTGCAAACATTTTATATCAATGTCATGTATATAAGTTATATTAGTGTATACAAGTATTAAATTTCATCTATTTCTTTTTATATAAATTATCGAGCAAGTACAAATAATCATTCAATGCTACAAATAGTCAGCGAAAAAAGATACAAAATATGAAGTGCTAAATTAAGCATTCAGGTTTTATACTTGGGAAATAAATAATAGAATTCTTCTACTATTGAGTTGCCCTTATACTAAGTTATTTGTCACTAGCAACCATAAAATTGTTCTTGATGAGCCACTATCAAAACTATTAGGTATTCATAAAGACAAGTGGATTTGACCAAAATACTGGATTGTCTGTTAGACAGAGTTGCCTTGTTGTCTTCCTGATCCTATCGAATGGTAGGTGTTTTTCAATTATTCTAACTAAACAATAAATTGCTATCTGTAGATTCGTGTAGTTACCAGGCCTAAGATAATAGTCTTAACATATCCTACTCATAACATATAGACTAATAGAAAATGTACCATGACAATTTTTGAAGGATCAATTAAGTACATATTTTCAAAATTATGTGTATATAATCAAAAAAAGTACGTGTAATTATTATATTGTTAACTGATTATGAAATAAACAGCATTCCAGACAAAGTGTAACTCATGTGATGTACAAATTTACCATTAAAAAGATGTCAGTAAGTCTATTTATATGTCATCAGATACATGGATGCTTTGAGTAATGGCTGAATAAAATTTTTTTCCACCTGAAGTCCATTATCCCTTTTTTGTGGAAATGTCCTGAGGTTTTTTGGTTTTCAACCATCTACAATCTGACAAATATATACATGCAAGTGAACAGAAATTCTGCACAGGAGAAATTGAAAAATTATTCCTAATATACATTTTCAAAGATGTCAGTAAGTCTATTTATATGTCATCAGATACATGGATGCTTTGAGTAATGGCTGAATAAAATTTTTTTCCACCTGAAGTCCATTATCCATTTGATTTGCTAAATAAGAGAAAGCTTTAAAACTACTCCCAAACTCGGAATGTAAACATAATTCAGAATGAAAGAATGTATGATCTTATTCTTAACCAGAAGCATTCCTATACGAGGGTGGTCCCAGAAGTATTCGGTCCAACAAAGATAACACTGAAATTTTAGAAAAAAAATGTATTCATTTTCCAACATAATCTTACAGCTCCATACACTTTTTCTAGCGACGTTCAATAAGTTAGATACCGTTTTTATAATAAGAACTGTCTTACTCCTCAAAATAGGCATTAACTGCCGATATCAATTTTCATCGTTGGACAATCTTTGACCACTGAGCCATTTTTTCAAGTTTGGGAACAGAAAATGATCCGAGAAGACTAAATCCGGCGAATCGGGTGGATGCGTTAGCAATTCAAACATTAGTTCGTTAATTTTGGTCCTTGCAATAATGGATTTGTGAGCAGGTGCATTGTTTTGATGAAACAACACTTTTCTATTAGCCAACTGCGGCCGTTTTTGCTTGATTTTTTCACCCAAACGTTGCAATAAGTTCGCATAATCCTACACGTATGCCAAAAACCGATTCCATGACCTTGCCTTCAGATGAAACGGTTCTCGCTTTCTTTGGAGCCGGTTCTACCTTTTGAGTCCACTGTTTTGATTGTTCTTTTGTATCGGGTGTAAAGTGATGGACCCATGTTTCATCCATGGTTATGAAACGACGAAGAAATCTGCTTTGTTGCTGTGAAACTTCTCTAAACACTCAATTGAAACATCTTCACGACACTGTTTTTGTTGGAGTGTGAGCAAATGCAATACCCATCTTGCACACAACTTTCTCATGTCCAAATTTTCAGATAATATACGGTGTACCGCACTTTTTGAAATACCTTCTAAGTCTGCTAGCTGGCGCACTTTCGGTTTACGATCATTCAGTACCGCTTTGTGGATTTTCATCACCGTTTCTGGAATCGTCACCTCATTTGGTCGACCACTACTGCGATGCTTGTCTTGGCAGCTCGTACGGCCTCGTTTAAACTCTGCTACCCAATATTTTACTATTGAAAACGAAGGAGCAGACTCACCCAGAGAAGAATCAAGTTCAGCTTTATATTAATTGGGATGAGGCCTGTCAAATAAAAGTTTTCACCAAATAACAATGTCCAATTTTCTCCATTTTCACAAATTCACCGAAAACGTTCACTATTGATGGTTGCCAAACAAATACTAAACAACGCAGCGTCTTCAAATTTGAAACATATGCTGTATAGTGCTAATACAGTGATTTTTTCAAGCAACTACCGCCATCTCTTGGTAAGGCCGGGTACTTCTAGGAACACCCCCGTAATGGAAGTTATTGATCATTCAGAGAGGTCCTTTGAAATTTATTCAAATATTTAGTGTCAGAAGGCAAAAAATAATGGTAAATTCGAAGGAATATAGTGGAAGACCGACTTGCTTTAAGTTAAGAAAATGATATACTCTCCCATCACTTGACTCATGAAAAGGCAAACTATATAGGTAAGTATAGCTTAAAGTAAAGGATTACTCCCAGATATTACATTTTTTCTCAATAATAACTAACCATAGTAATACATTCAACTGTCAGTCTTTTGATGATTTACATGGACAAAAATATGGAAGAAATTAGGTAAGATATTACATGGGCTGTAGATATTTACCCAAAATTTAAAAAATTAAGTATCACGTATGAAGTAAGTAGGTATCAAAGTGTGACCAATGTGATGAAATGAATTTCTCATTACTTTATTTGAAAATCAATAAAAAATGTACAACCTTGGTATCTAAATTTTGCTTCTTTGTTAACGAATGTGAAATTTTATATATTCTCAGAATTGCACAATAGGTATGTTGACCCAGTGGCACCCACGGCCTGATGACTTCGACAATTGCGGAACTAGTCAAATGTTACACCCATGCTCAATCCTTAAAGAGATGGGATGAAATCAAAGGATGTAATCTTGCCAGGATCACCTTGGGCGACCCTGGGAAGCTGGCGCCGAAGAAATATCTGGCGATGACCAGGAAAAATCTACGCCTTACAGTAGGATTTCTGGCTGGCCACTGTCAACTAAGGAAAAACCTCCATAATATGGGGCTAGTGGACACACCTCTAGGAAGGATGTGTGAACAGAAAGATGAGACTGTCAGGCATGTCCTGTGCGAGTGCCCGGAGTTATCGTCAATAAGAGAGTGTGTGTTCGGCGAGTCTTGGCCTACACCTGCCGATATAAAGGAGATGTCTCCTAGCGACCTATCCACCTTCCTGGAAAGGACAGGATGGACGATTATCTAGGAGCACAACTCCTCGGAAGGATGTACGATGGGTCACATGTGGCCTAAGTGCGTGGGCTTACACTCACCCTCCCTACTCTACAGATACAGATAGGTATGTTGACTAGTAAGCTGAACAGCATAGGAGATAAGTGAAAATATTTATATTAAATTGACTTGAGTTGATCTGACATTCTATGTTGGTTAGTTTAAAATCAGTTTAATGTATTATGAAAAGTATGTTTTATCGATACTCAAGTCATTTTCTTTAGATAATTTTGGTTTCATTATCAACTGTATAAAACAAAATAGTTCATCTTTGGTTTTGGTGATATAAAAAGCTATTTGGTGAGATGTTACGAAAATTCGATACTTACGCAAGGGTTTCTAGCATAGAATCCTAGTGACAAAAAGTGGTTCTGAAAAATAAGTTTAGCGAGTTTAATATATCTGAAAATATAAGAAAGAATTGTCTTGGTAGGTACTCACTCTTTTAGAGAATTGAGGTTCGCCACCGAACTGTAACGATAAAGTCAATTAGAAGAGTTAATTCAAATATGAATATACAAATACGTACTAAACCGGATATTCGTTTCCCAGACATTTGATAACGTTTCACGAATAATTTTGATGACGCAAAGTTATTTTTTATTTTTGAGTCACAAGAATTCAGTGTGACAAAATCATTAATGAAATGGCATATGACAGAACTAACAACAAAAATTCAATTGTTCTCATATACAAAGTGTGTAACAGATAAATGTAATAAATTCCAGTCATTGAACGAACCTCTTTATTGATTGTAAACATTTAATGATTGGCAGATTGGTATGAGATTAAATTATCACAGTCCAAATCGAATATCGATGAACATGACATGGAGAATGGCCATAGAACTGAGAAACGTGCTTGAGAATGTTTAGACACGTCCATTTTTCACAAAAAATTTAAGAGAGTATTTCACAGAAAGCAAATAACATTAATGCAATCTATTCAACGATGTTACATGCGTGAACATAATCCAGAATACTCTGAGATATTCGAGAATATTTCAGAATGCTTTCTCTTATTGATCAAAACGAAAAATTTTACTCAGAGTACCGGAAAAAAAATTAATGCGAAAATCTATTGGAAAACACGAAGTTGTATTATGTTGGTTTTTCCTAGAAACACATGAGTCACTTATAACTCCGCGGAGTTAGTAGGTGGACAGATATAGTTCAGAATATTCTAGAATCCTAGATAAGAATCAGCTAGATTCTTATCAAAAGCTTTCCATTGATATCTTGAGAAGAAACTATTTTCGAGTTCTCCTCTATTCCATGACACCTTACCTCCGCCATTCCTAAATAATTAGGGTTTTTGAAACCTCCACCGTAAATTCAAGTGACTCCTGCCTTGTCATATCGTTTTACATTTGGTCAATGATCGAAAGCATAGAAGGGGCACAAATTATTTTTTTCAAATTACAAAATTTCGGGTTCAAACTCGGAATTTACCAGAATTTCGTGTTTATAGTTGGAATACAAGAAGATCCCATGTTTTCAAAAAACTCGAAATTTTTTCTTCAACTTCATAGATATGTAGGTATATAAGAGAATAATCAAGTTTATACATATTTGCACTCGGTGCGAATAAGCCATGTAAATATAGGCAAATGTAATAGGCCCAATGTTTCGCGGTGGCCTGTTACCTGTTATGAAAAAACTCACAAATTGAAAAAAAAATGTCACACACTAAGCCACCAACCGTGACCATACTTTTTTTGTATACGATGCTGAAAGATCATTATCTCTTACGCTCTGCGGGTCGCGGATTATGATTATGAGACACCTACAACCTAATTCATTCTGTTTTTATTCTCCAGAAAAGGATTTGGAATATGTTTGCCAGGCAAAAGCTATAAACTCTGCAGATCTGCAGACTCCTGTCCCATCGTATTTTAACGTTAGCTTGTCTCTTTCTCCTAGAAGCAGTTTGTCTCTGGCATATAAAGCACAGGAACGATATCATATCGAATCCAGGTTATTCTATTCGATTCTATAACATAACAGTTTCCATCTCAGTGTTTTACAACAGAAAGGAGAGTTAATGATGATTGTCACCTACTCAGTTATTAGCTTGTACTTCTGAACACGAACAAATTGTGAATAGTTTACCGTAAAATAAGAATACTAAACAAATCCAAACTTATAGAATCGTTACTAAAACTGACGCCCGAAGATGCTATCGTATAGCGAGACACGTATCGCGGTTTTGTAGACATTCAAATGAAAATCTCACTTGGAAGTGTGTTTTTTCAATAATTTCGAATTTGTAGCAGTCGATTCCAAATGAATGATCTCCACTGAACCTCTTTGCATCAAAATTTTCCAAAATAGAAGGAACTTGTGTTGTTCCAATGTTTGTGGATTATAGTAGAGGAATCGACACCTTCTATTCAGGTGGGCTTCTGGGCATCGACTGGACAAAAGTTATTCTATTAAATTTGTTGGTTCCAAGGAATACTGCAGCAGCATAAGAAATCAAGTACTGCTACCTAGGCAGATTTTTTGACATTTCAGCCCCCCCTTCCCTTGTCAGCGAATTCGTGCAAAACTCCCCCTATATACTTACATAAACATTGTTATTCGAAGTAGAACCTATTTGATATTGCTTATGTACGACCATCCAGACACCCGGCCTCCATGTTATCAAAAATAAGCTGAACAAAGACCCCTCTATCAACCCTTTGTTGCTTACGTAATGCTTATATAACACGTAAACATCCTGACTTTCATTGAAAAACATATGGATACTCCATTTATTTGGATTTGGTACATTTGATTCGACAAAACTTTGGTAATTTTTAAGTTTGAAAAATACTTGAATCTTGAACCACTTCCAGAAAGTAATTTTTATATTTTCTTATACCTCAACATCCCCAGTTTTTCCAAAAAAAAACAACCTAGGTACCTTTAGTGGAAGAGGACAAGAAAATATAATTGGGTGTACAGATTCGCAATAGATAAAATAACACGTTTGTTTTTGTTATAACTCTCCTCCAATCAAAACCAAGCTATGGTTTGTTCGATGTACTTCTAAATTAGGGAAAATATAATCGAAGAATGAAAACACTCATCAAATTTAAGCATTACCCCGCATCAGAACAAAAATACTGACTCTCGAAGCCAATTTCGCTAACCAAGTTAACATCATTAGAAGATTACTAAACTGTCAGTTCAGTCATCTCCTGATGATATCAGATTACATAACCGCAACACATGTTTCATCAAGACTCAGAAGCTATTGTAAACTGTTCAGTGAAAATCTAACAATAAATGTCCTGAAGCGGAGTACATTGTAATGTCCCTCTCGGGTGAGGAGAAGGTAAGATTTCCCGCCTATAATAATATAATAATAACCAATAACTTTATTCACAACGTATACAGATTACAGTACAATTAAAACAAAATATGTGAACAAAGTGGTTTGGTGATAAGAGCAGAGCTCTTGTTTCGCAAGAAGTTATAAAGAATATGTAAGTATATAAATATTTGTATAAAAATATGTATGACCTTCATGGAGTAGGAACTACAAAACATTTTATTAAATTTTGTGAATTTGGTGTTGTAGTTATAAGCAAATTATATTTCGGCTTGAGGTAAAATATGGATAAAATTATGCTACTTACAATACAGTATGATACAACTTTAGGATAAATTTGACAAAGACTAACTTATTTCACTTAACAGATTTATTTTTAAATTGTCTATCTTTTTCGAGAATGTGTTCTCTTATTTGTTTTTTGAATATTGGTTTGGAATAAGAATTTTTTATTTTGCGAGGTACGGTGTTATATAATTTAGTTGCCATGAAAGAATATGCTCTTTGTGAAATTGACTTTTTAACAGTAGGATAAGTTAGTTGGTCGCGATGTCGTGTGTTATAGTCGTGGTTTTGTGATAATGCTTTATTTTTGCTGAAATGATACTTCACGTTTGTACAATAGTAATATAATTGTCTCATATCTATAACTTCACACTCTTTATACAGGAGATCTGACGAGAAACGTGAATTTCTAGACATGATCAACTTCATGAATTTCCTTTGTAATATCTCTAATGAATTGAGGTGTACACGCAGAGCTGATCCCCATGCTGTTATACCATATCTCAAATGGCTCTATACTAGGGAACTATATAATTGATTAAGTTATTTGTGAGGTAAGTAATTTTTCAAGGAACGGAAGTTGTGAGGCATTGTTTGCAGTTTTTTTATTGTATATTCTATATGAGAGTCCCACCTTAAGTTTTTATCTATGTAGACGCCCAAATATTTGATTTCTCTCAGGGAATCTGTTTTTATTGTTTTTCCTTGTTCGCCGACATCAAGAGTTTCAAATGGACAATCATTGGATATATTGCAGCTGAAAGGAAGAAAATTAGTTTTTTTCCAGATTCACTGTCAGGAGCCTTTGGTCAAACCATTTTTTGAGCAAGTGGAAATCTGTTTCTACGTTCTTTTTCAAATCAAGCCAAGTGTCTGCCTCATAGAATATCGCAGTATCGTCTGCGTATCCAATTATTTTCACAACGCTGTCCAAAATGAATAATTCATGTAGATATAAATTGAAAAGCAGAGAACCCAGTATCGTATGATGTGTGTATCCGTGCCGAAAGGACATATGACTTAGTTTCGAGGTACCGAACGCCTCCTCGTCCTATGAAATCTTACCGCGGTAATGCGGGGCGCTGCTGTGATGAATCTTCTTTCCCTAGCTTCCAATGGGATACTTTATAGATCATGAAATAATCAACGAACTCGACCCTAAGTTTATAGAGGAGATGGACGTCGACTAAAAGAAGTCATCCCTGTAACGTTGGAACAAATGCAATAACTTCTCAGTTCTCAAACTTTTGAACAAACTAGGAGGTTGGGTGATATCTTATGAATCTACTCTTCACCAAATTCTAGAGCAGCACAAGCACAATCAGGAGAGGAAATAATATCTCCCTGAGCAGGCTAACAAACGCTTACTCTCCAACGATGACAGATCCAAACCAGTCTCAAAAACCCTAACTATCGCTGAGGTTTATGTATCTTCAGGTATAGCTGACGTACAGATGCTCTCGTATGAAAAGATTACTGCAGACCAATCGAATGGAATCTCTTCAGTAAACCATTACGGCTGCTGTAGAGAATGTGCGCCAAAGGAGACCCACTCTCCAAGATACAAATTTTCATTGCTGATCTACCTGACGATGGTAGTCACAGACAGACCTCACATCAGGTCTCACTAGTTTGACAGGAATGTACCTTGGTCTGTTAACCTTGGATTGGATTATTATCTACAAGGATATCCAGGCCATGATAGCAGAGCACATACTCTTTGCCTGGCCGCTATGGACCGGGTTAGGTTTTCGGTGTTTGGCAGCTAGATCACTCACCAAGTAAAGTAATCGACTTCGTTAGGCGTAATTCACAATAAACCCTGTTACGATTATGATTCGAAAAAATCACGGTATGATCAAAATAAAACAAAATCAATATCAATAGCAAACTATAGGTAAACTGCAATATTCACATTTGCTACCGAGCTGACGTCAACTGGCATGGATATAAATGAACTTGGAGAATTTTAGCCAAAACTATATCCTCTTAAATAAAAACGTGTACCGCTCGCTCATCCTGCGCATCACGACGCTGCCGTCGAATGCGTCGCGACGCTTGTCAGAATCGAATTCAATTCGCATTCCACCACCTAGAGCCCGCGTTGAGACTTGAGGTGATGAAAATGTGCTGCTGAATCGTGTTGAAAATAAAAATAAAAAAACGGAAATGGATTATCGATCGGCATCCCCAGAAACCTCAGATGTGTTCTCGGAAGAAATGGACACTGATTCTTTAAAGGAAAACAGCTTATTGAACAGAACTGTGGCAAAATACAATAACAACAATTTCAAGGTGGGTTACATGCCTGTGGAAGATACGAAACCTGGCATGAGAGGAAGGAAGACAATTGCTTTCTGGACGTTGCTGGTGTTACTGTTTATTTTAGTTATTGGAAATCTCATTCTGACAGTTACTATTATTGGAGTACTGAAATTGGGACAAGGTGAGTTATTGACTCATTTGAGTTTACGAGTTTTATTTATTACTTAAATTTCATTTAATTCAATACACTATTCTCCGTGACATGAGGGTTTCAACTCCTGTTCCTCAAAAATTTATGATATATCATTTCTAACTCCGCTGCATAAAATAATAAGAATATGAAGCATATGTTTCTCAGTCGTTATCAACCAAATAATTCAGTTGAGTTAAAAAAATAGTGTTGATGTGGTCTTTTAATGGAAGATATTATCATTATAGAGCAAAATACGAAAACATTCAAATGTTTTGAGAGTTGGTCTCTACATTGAAAAAAGGTTAGAGTAATTGTTGAAATTATTGTGCCAGATTACACGTTGAAAGGTAAGACCTCGTTAGTCTTTAGTTCGGACAACTCTCTACTTTTGAGGATTGCCATTCGTGGTGGGGGGGTGTCGACAGGTGGTTAACAGAAAAAACAGATTGTCTCGTTCTAGATAAAAGATGTCAGAGGCATATATAATCCCTTTTTAGGAAAAAAGTTTTGGCATTCTACTTCTCCATCTCTATACAAAAATATGTGGAAATCTTCCATTAATAGACAGGTATTATCGAACCCAAACAGATGCATTGGATACCTATATGTGATGATTGTCGGATCAATGATCACGTAAGGAGTAATTACCTGGTGGCTGAAAGTTTTCAAATCCTAAATAGGCATGATTGGATTCTCCGGAATCAATAAACAACTTCAGGTTATGGTGTAGGTTAATACAGACCCAGCACAGAGATATCAACCTGCCTAGTGCCTAGTGCAAAACAGCTTTGGAAGCACTTGACTCTCTTACAAGCAACGCCCAAGTTGGTGATAAACTGCCAAAAATATTCTCCAGAATCTGCCATTGGCATTGCTTTAGTATTTGCTTTAGTATTGCTTTAGTATTTAGTATTTGCCAATGGCATTGGCATTGCTTTACCTAGATAACAAGATGAGTTTCCGGCAAAATCTACCAGGATCGGCCTATTCCAAGGCATTTATAGATACATGGAAATATGTTACCAAAAAATGTTTAGACTACAGCAGGATAACCTACTTCTAACAAGCCTATATACATACTGAATCATCATATGCAGATAATGAATACGTCGGAAAACAGCAGAGCACCTACCTTGTGCCTTACCTGTAGTCGAGCAGACCCACTAACTTGAACATATCTAACTCTGCAGTCAAGGCACGCCTTTTGGTATTTTGTCTACTTTGACTAAATCCCCTATTAGGCTAATTGAATGTATAGATATTACTTTTGTAAAGTTTTACTCCCACTACCAAGGCTTGCCTTGTTGAGTAGTATGTATTTATTTACCATTGAATGTCTTCTTTTATTGTACCTTTTCTTTTAATGTGATGTAAATAAATATTATTATTATATGTCTACCATAGATAATTTTCATTTTCAATGATCGCCATGTTTAATCATATGAAGTTATATACCAGAATGGCACTATTCAACAGTTTTTTGTTCGATTAATTTAAATGATATTCAAAATGACCCTTGAACTGTGAAATCTTTTTTCCTAGAGTTTTTAAAAACGTAATAGAGGAAAGTTATTCCCTTTTCAACTGTATATTAAATCAGCAGTCTATATTCTCAGACAGATAATTTAATATTTTCGCAATTTATAAATTTTATTGTTACGATTTTCTCTGTAGGTTAGACAGTAACTGACACCACTGTACAATTAAATTCAACTTTATTCCACTACCACACTATTAATACTACACAAAAACTCTTACTAACTTCAGACTAATGCTCAAATGTCTATCGCTTTATTAACTCATCATCTATATTGACATTGTACTTGACGAACTAGATTAGACTCTCCTACGTCGCTTAAATAAGTCGATAGAATTATTTGAAAGCTGGCGGAACAATTCTCGAACAAACGCGTCGTTCCAGAATTTTCGACTAAGTCACAGTCGATCGGAGGAGACCAGTCGCTAGATTTTTTATACATTGTAATCGTTTTTCACTTACTTCAATACTACAGAAACAAGATCTTCATGGTTATCATGAGACAGTAATCGTTCATGTTCAATTTCTCTTCATGATGCTGCGCAGTACTTACCAGAAAAATTCAATACGATATATAAGAGGCATACCAATATAATATTTATTCTAATATTGAAGAACAGATATTCTTGTTTGGGTTTATTACTTTCCACAATTTGAAAAATAAACAATGCTAAATCCAATCTAACATAAACCAATTAAAGAAAGCTAGGTAAAGAAATTTCATTATTTGATTTATAGGCAGACTTTATGAATACATGTTGCTGAAGTGTTTTATATTACGCAATCACTTTTCAAGATGAACTTTTCAGTTTGTACTTTATTACACTTCGGCAGATTCTGTATTGATTTAGCTTGGTTTGTTTCTGATTGTGGAAGGTTATAAACCCAAAAATCAGTAAGACACATTAACTCCTTCATAAAAAATGTAAAAAATCCCAAGATGATGTATCTTATTTTTCAGGGATGCAAAATATCGAATTGGTTCCAAATGCTCAGTCCATTAAACTATTTGGGGATGTGAATCTGGACCACATCTACAAGAGGGATGGTAAAATAGAAGGCTACAAGAACCAACCTATGGAAATTACCTCAAACGACAGCCCAATTCTATTAAGCTTAGTGAAATATAGTAGAGGTGTTACTAAAGTCAAAGTAGATCCTAATGAAATATTATTCAAAAGTACAAATTCTTTTGAAGTTAAAGATAAGGAAAAAGAAACAATTTTTACTGTTACTAATCCTATTTATAAAGAACTAACGAATGCAAATAGCCTCAATAGTAAATATTTGCACACCAATAAGATCCGAAGCCCAACAGATTCCGATCTACATATTGAAGGAGATATTGTTACTCTCAAAGGTGCTGAAGGGTCGAATGTTTCAGGCAAAGAAGTATTTTGGTCTGCTGATCAAGACATTTACTTGAAGAGCATTAATGGTTCAATAATTCTGATGAGCCAAGAAGGTATATTTGTGGATCTCGATAGAATTCCAATAGCAAAATTGAACCACAACTATGTTACATCGCAATTCAAGGTCTGTGTATGCATGCCAGAAGGAAAACTATTCAGACTGCCTGTTGCCAATCCCAATCAAAGAGTGTTTTGTGATTATGTGAATATGGCTCCACAGTATAATCCTTGTATTTAGGAAATATACAAAGAGTAGAGATCAATATGATGAATGAAGATTTGCCAGAATGAATCAAAGTTATTCACTGGTATTATATCTTTATCATCAGCTATAACATCCATTAAATTGAAAAGTTCTATGGATATGTTCATGTAGCACTGTGAACATGTTTTAGGTCATATTACTTACCATGGAACATAAATTCCAACTCTGCTTCAATAGATCGTTGATTGACTTTAGTACTGTAGAGGTTTCTTACAAAATATGAAATTTCCACAGCAATGACTGATTTTGTTACTGAATTTTCCAGTTTGTGAGTGTTGAAAAACGTATATTATTCCAGAAAAGTTACAAGCATGAATAGAAGGTACATATCTTCATTATTATATAGTAGTTGACAATAAAATATTTATACCAGATGTTTTCTGATTTATGTCTATAAATATATATATATTATTAGAAATCCCTACTTATTTTTTCCAACAAATTTGTCATGTATTTATCCAAAGTCAATTGAATGAGTGCAATTTTCAAAAAGTTTTTCAATTTATACCAAAAATATACCCGAAATTCAACTTGTCTTCAAAGGACCAGAATGTAACAGTTTATAAAAAGGCTAAATCAATTACATACAATAAATTGATGGATGTAGCCATTACTAGGTGGTAGGAGATCGTCATGAAAATTAAGCTTTTTATGTTTTTTTTACCACTTCCATTCGTGACTAATGTTACTGCAGTTTCCTTCTATAAGGACATTTTCAAACAATTACAATAACCCGAAAATAAATCATAATGTTAGTCCTTATATACTTACTGAAGGTAATAATAGAGGTCCTTAACACAATTGAGTACCTGAAATTTGTTTACCTGTGACAATGTGGACACACTAATTTGAAAACGTGAGTAAACTAGATCGACTTGATCATTTAGCAGATTACATCCGCAATGCTAATGCTTATGAATTTCCAAGGATACCAAATAATTGAGTTTTCAACCTTTGCTTGCACAGTGCAAAATTTCCGTATCGTTTAGATTTGAGAACTTGGTTCCCTCATCTTAACTTTTGAATGAAACAAGATATCAGGGTCCAACAAAATTTATGTCAAAAGGATTTGTCTTCAGTACTTTTTGGTGAAGAAGACATTAGTGTTGCATCACTCATCGCCGAGAGGGTGCTACCAACTTGTTTTTTTTAAATATAAAGGGAGGTTTCGTGATACCTCATTCAATAGGTTCAACCGTTCCAAACTAATTGGCAGTTATATATTCGTTACAAGAGTTTGCTTTCAAACGATAAATATAATAACTTCAAAAAAATGCATACATAACTCCCTTCTATTTCATTCCAATTGATATATTTCTGTTAAAATTTGTTTTTCTATTAACCAGCTGTTCAATGTTCATCATTCACTTTCTCACAATGAAAAGGTCTATTTACAAATTCATTTTTTACATTATGGAATGTTTCTGAAGTAATTTCGTTGCAAACACTTTTTTTTATTTAGTTTAGTTATTTAGAAAAATTTACTGAATGATAAAAAAAAATTGAATACTTCCCATTAAATTTTTTTTCTAATGTGGAAACAGGTACCTAATTAGTTTATTACAAATCCATTCAATGAGTTTGGGAAATTTCTTAAATAATGTTCAAATTTTAATAGCTTTATACCTATACTCACTTACTCACATAAAATTATCAGACATAAGGTAGGTAAGTAAGGTCATATGATTCAAATTGTCATATTATATGAAGCACTAATTACGTAGCATTTAGTTAGGATGAACACGCCTGAGGAAGCTATTATATAGTGAAACATAATAATAATAATAATCGTTATTGGTTTCAAAGACCTAAAAGGCATAAAACAAGTCAAAAGAAATTTGAACATAGATTAGGCAAACAATACATGTACTTTAAAATGTTATAAGGAGCAAAGAGAGTTCACTACGAAGATAAGAACTCGTCCATTGTATAATACGAGTTATCCAGTATGTTTTCAGCGTTTTTCTGAATCTGAAGTAAGATACCTCCTGATCGATTTTTGTCAATAGGTGGTTGTAAACTCTAATTCCATTGGAAATAGGGCCATGCAGGCATATATTCAACTGATTTTGGGGTGTGTAAAGATGATGACTGAATCTTGTTGCGTAATTGTGGATGTCATGACGGAATTTTGTTTCTGTTTTTTTATATATAACAGGAAACTTCCAATATATATATACTCCAACTTCCACAGGTGCAAGATGAGAGTGGTGAATTGTGTTTTGACCGCTATTTTCATTGCAAGATATTTGTACCTACTGATATCTATTTTTGAGAAAAGATTTGAACCAGCTAAAAGGAGATCCTCTGATACCATAAGACCAAAGCTTGTCAAGTAGTCGAATGTGTGAAACACAATCAAAGGCTTTACTTAAGTCACAATATATGCCTATAGGGCTCTTTTTTTTTCTAATTCTTTGAGAATGTGTATAAATGTATCTGTGGTTGCCGTAGATGTAGATTTTCTGAATCTATGCTGTTCTTCTGGGATAATTCTGAACCTTGCAATGAATGAGTTTAGCCTCTCTAGCATACAATATTAAAAAAGTGTGGAAAAGCTTGAGAAAACAGATACGATTTCCATTTCAGTTTGTATCTGTAATATCTGTGTATGATTATTTCATGAAAATACTTTCTTTTCATGCATATTGGAATTTGAAAATGAATGTTTTTCAATGAACCAGTAAATAAAATAACCTGTGTTAGAGTCTTCTTCATTTCACCTGAAAATCAGTACTCAACCAGACACACCAAGTCAATAATAAAAAAAACAAATTGATGGATGTAACCGTTACTACACGGTAGGAGATCATCATGAAAAATGAGAATTAAAACTTCTTATGTTTTTTTACCACTTGTATTAACTAACGTTATTGCAGTTTCATCCTATAAGGATATTTTCAAGTTATTTGTATTCGTTTGAAAATGTCCTTATAGGGCGTAACTGCAGTAATGTTAGTTACAAATAAAAGTGGCAAGAAAACATAGGATGTTTAATTTTTCATTACAAAAAAGTAATATTCGAATGAAAGCTGGCAAATCCGGTGAAAAATAAAAATTTTATTTAAATATTATTCAGAGGACTGATACAAAAAAGTTGAATTTGGCTTGCTTGAAACCCTAACAAGAGGTTTGCACAAATTATATTACATGTTACATAATACACAATCATATGAATTAAATCAAATATTATTGTTACCTATAAACCTATCGTTATATAAATTATGTTTCCTGAGTTTCCATGCTCTCGTCTGCATCAGCTTCCATATCGTCATCATCTTCCTCACCGTCTTTCTTTTCTGGTGGATTTTCGTAAGCTTTGTCAAGTGGAGATACCACGATACCATCCCAAACTGTCAGCTCCTGGGCAATATTAGAAGAGCCCTCCAGTCCCAGGATGTGTTTGTACCCTCCATGAGCCAACACTCTCACTACAGATTGTGCTGTTAAACAGCAAATATCTTGCTGCTCCAACGACATAGCTGTATGAATTCGCAAGCTAACTCCTTCGCAGGGATCGGTAATACCAGCCGAACCTGGTAAGAATAATCCAGCAGCCAGGAGTTGGAAGACTCTTTTGAAAGCAACATTTAGAGGTAATGCCTGACGACTGGGATTATGCATTATAGCGAAATGTGCTAGTAGATCCAACATCCAAGGTGTGAGGGGTTCAAAGCCTTCATTACGGCTTCGGACATCTCGCAGCAAGCGGATTAGAACTTTTATGGAGGAATGGTGGGCATTTTCCTCGAACCACCTGCTGTGTCGGATAGCAGCCAAGTGACTGAGCATTATTTTTTGGTCCAAATGAATCTCTGGGTCTAGTTTTCTAATATTATGATGGAGTGTTGTGACCATAACTCTAACACAGGCAAAAGCATTGCTGATTTCGATCCCCCTTTCGTTGGTAGTGTGTTGAAGTTGTTCACCTTTAGCGACTATTTCGTTTTTCATTAAATTCCTTAGATCGTCTCGAACTTTGTTACCCAGGGCTTCCACAGCTTCTCTGGTGGGAAGAGTCTTTAGAATAACCACAATATCAGCAACATTGTGTCCGGTAAGCATAGTTCCTTTTTTGAAAGAACCTACTTGTCTCACCTCGTCCAATTGCTGAAAATAAAATACAGTTAGATACTTCAACCATTTGCCAGAGGTAACATGAAAAATAAAGAATAAGCAGTTTAGTGGATTAATGTTGTCACTGACAATGCAATGTGACAGATGCTTTACAATTACATTTTAATACTTTGATTCTCATATTTTGAAGTTAATCCTCGCCATTTGATAAACAATTTTTGTGAGTTTGAAATAATTGATTCTGTAGCCTGAATTATATCTATATTCTTTCTCAGTGCAAATCCAGAACTCAAAAAACCTACTGTTGCTATTCTGCATCCTCTTTATAATTTATTGCCAATGAAAAAATTGGGTTCATGGTAAAAAAAAATTCATAATTGTATTGATTATTTGTGAACACAAAATAAACTTGTAGAGTTGTTCATCTTTAGCGACTACTTTGTTCCCTAGAGCCTCTACGCTTCTCTGGTGGGAAGCGTCTTGAGAATAACCACATAAAGTCATAATGTTATGAATGAATTGAGTGTTTCATTTTGTAATGTTATCCAAATTGGTGTTGAAGACCTAAGTGTTTTATTGTGAAACATCAATGTCCGCCACTGAGGTGACAGTGCTACATGTAAGTGAAATTTCATCTATTTTATTAAGTAACAATCCTGTGAATGATATCTGATTCAATTCGATAACAAATGTTTGGAGTAAAAATTGAATAGAAAAGTGTTTTTGGTATAATTCAACGCCTATAAGATAATAGTTGTTTCGAGAGAGCTTTTTCTTCCAGTTTATGTCTGAAAGTAACTTCTATGCACGATCTACTCATATTTATAAAGAACTCATCATGAAATTAAATGCTTTCTTCTTTCCATCGGAAGTTTCCCACATTTTTTGTATAAAGATGGAGAAGTAGAAAGCCAAAATTTTCTCTCTCAAAAATTACTCTCTTCTGAAAATATACCCGTTTCAATTAAAAACTTTAAACAGCCATTTCTACATTTGCTTTCTTAGTTTGCAAAGTTTTCCGTTGAATTCCGTGTTGCCTTTGATTTCAAATAGTAATTTTTTTCATAAATAATCTGAAGGCATGCTATCAAAATCCCATTCTTCTTTAGATCATTTAGAATACCAACTACATTGAATTTTTTTTACAAAGCGTGAATGTCAATGTTGCATTTAGTTAAGTTTAGTTATGTTAATTTCATTCATGTAGCCCTTCCAACTGAAAAACTATTGGACAAAAAACCTCACAATCAAATTGTGAGAGACATGAATTTACTCAAGAGTCTATGTAGTGTCTTAGATATTCATATATAATCATTTTAACCTGATGACATTGAAAGTTAATAATCAACGTTATTCACATGAAACTAGTTGTATATCTGAAATAAAGTTCAATGCATGCAGGGCCGTCGCCATGCGGGGGAGACCCCCCTGCTTTTTCAACTTGGCAAAAAGTTGGGAAATTTTGCTGGTGGGGTTGGGAAAATTTGGATTCCCCCCCTGGTTTTTCTTTTCGCTACGGGCCTGAATTCATGATCTACAAAAATTTGTAATTTATTTTAAACTCAGTTACTTTCTTCCTTCAGAAGTTCGTGTAAAGATGGAGAAGGAGAAAGCTGAAAACTTTCACAAAAACTATTCTCTCCTAAAAAATATATCACTTTCAATTTGAAAATATATATTTATTTGTTTAACATTTTTTGCTCTCAGTAAACAATATTTTTATCCTGTATGGGTGTGTTCTCTTCATAAGTTCATTTGGAAATAGTTGAGGAATAAAATCTTAGTTCTACATATTCATATACTTATACACCTAATAACAGCAGAATTTATGTGTTAAACTTTTCTGTATAGCAGAAGTTTTTCCAACACTGCTAGTGTCAAATTCAGGTTTAATCTAATTTTCGAAGCTGCGGAGTGTCAAATGCATCTATTTTCGAATAGATCTCATTGCTACTATTTCTAAAATAACTCATTACAGGTTTCATTGTTTAGTTTGTTGGTTACAACCTCAACGGTCTGAAAAAACATAATACGAGAGTTTGTATCTTCATAAAAGGGACGAATTTCTTTCTGAAAAGAAGTTATAAGGTAAATATAAAGTATTGATTCCAGACTAAATTTCAACAGCCACGTCAATAACAAAAAAAAAGAAAGTGATTGCAAGAGCCGCACATTTCACAAGTTTGACAAACCAGGGAGCAGGTGCAAACATATCAACAGCAAGTCGAATATATAAACTAATCTGTCGTCCACTTATTGAATACTCTCACCCACTGTTTCTCAATATCAAACAAAGGGCCTTGAAAACAATTGTCTGAAACAACGACTATAAGGAAAATAACAAGATTAAGGCATCCCAATAACCAATAACCCCAAACACAACCCTCCAAACCCTCTGCTGTACCAACTCACTGGTATTATCCCTATCGAGGAAAGACTACCGTCACTTACTCAGAATTTCAAAAACTACACCTGACGACTTGATCTCCACAAACTTAATTTGAAAAATATATATCACAACATGGTTCGCTAAATCATTAGCTTGAGAAAGCTAATGATTTAGCTTTTTCAATCTAATGTTTTAGCGAACCATGTTGTGATATATATGTTTCAAATAAAGTTTGTGGAGATCAAATCGTCAAGTGTAGTTTTTGGAAGTACTATGGATCTTCATCAAGTAACGGCCGAATCAATCAGAAAACTTACTCAGAAATTTGCTAGAAAAAACGACAATGTAAAAATCATTAGAAAGTATGCTGTGACAAGAAACCCCCATGCAAGAGTACGACATCGACACCCAACAGAAACACTAATGAGTTGCAGAAATAAGAAGTTCGCTCATTGATTTTCATTGGAAACATTTAAACACAAATGTTGGCCAAAATAAATTCTTATGGAAGACAAGTTGAATTTTATTAGTATTATGCAGAACAGTTGTTTAGATAAAAAGAGAAATGAAAATTTCTACGTTTTTTACCACTTTTATTTGTAACTAACGTTACTGCAGTTTCATCCTATATGGACATTTTCAAACTTAAACAATAAACTAAGAATGATTCATTACATTCGCTAATATATATGATTATGGTGATTATGATTTTGGTAGTCAATCTAAACAAACAGTATCATTTGCCACTTAATTTTCACATATTCAAATTATACCAATGTTCTTTCGACTTAACGCTCTTCTTGTAATGAAAACCTGTATGCCCCAGTTCTTCTTAGGGTGGATTCTTGCAAGTCTCAAGTAGTATGTGTCCCAAGTTTCAAGTGGTAAGTATTCATGTATCATTTATTACCACTAAAAACTTACAACTGTTGAACACATATATTGCGAATAACTGTATAATAACTATATAAAAAATAATACCAATGCTTGTGCATGAATGTTGCCACCGGAAATCAATGATCTTACAATTTCTCAGAACTTGCGCCTTGACAGGGTGCACGAATGCAACGTTAATAAACATACTTACACAGGCATCAAAATTGCCAGGAGCTACTACTAAATTATCCAATACAGTTTGAATTTTGGTAACCAGGTTCAAAATAGCAGTTTGTTCTGTTGGAGTAGGCGATAAATCAGCGTTTCTTTTTAGCAATGCCTGAGTAAATGCACTCTCATCAGGAGCTGGTTTCACTCGAGGAAAAGATGATTCGCATAGTGCTAAATCGAACGGATGCCTCGGAAGAAACATCTTTACTTTGTATGGTGGTCTTCCTCCAACGCCTCGGTTCATGCCTCCTCGGCCTCTCATTCCACCTCGAGCCATTTCGTTTCTGGAAATTAAAGGAAAGGATAAAAAACAGTAATTAGTATTGTGAAAGTTTATTTATTGATGTATTAAATCAAAAAAAGTTACCGGGATATTTAACCAAACTACACGCACCACAAAAATCAATATTAAATATGGAAGAAGGCAGGATGCCAACCTTGCCACAGAATAGTGTGACCTTGCCAACTTTGGTAATTTGACATTTGAAAGACTCCTCAAGTTATGGTCCAAAATAAGGATATATTTTAAATGTAACCTCTTTCTAACATCTACTCACCAGAGATTTTGACAGCAGTAGCCTCAAAAAGTAAATTTTTTTAAGTGTCTCTGTTGATTTGTTGAATACTTTAATCGAAAAAAGTCCACGACTTGTAATTTGACAGCAAACATTTCAGAATGTGGTAAACGCACATGTTTCAGTTTTGAAATATTTTGATTCTGATAGATACATTAATTCCAACATAATGTGAAAATTGTGAAAATGAAATATACATTTCTTCATTACAAAAAATTGAAAAGGCCGAATTTTTAATCCCGCTGAATAGTACCTCTGCTGGTACCTGGTGTAAAATCGAACTTTCTTCAGTTGCAGTTTTCCTCAAAGAGGGCCTGTTGATCATAAAATAAATTTGAAGTCACTCCTTATCTTTTATGACTGGTATATTCATTATATCTCAAGTTGATCATTATTGATAAGTGCAGTGGAGTTTTTCTGAATATTGACAAAATAATCACGAAAGGCGCTGGCGTTTGTAGACAAATCGCCTATCAGATGAGAATTTATATTGAGCACATGCATTTATTTCCAATTTGGCTACATTATCTGTCATATGTCAAACTTGATGTTTGTATTGAAAAAGGACAGATATATAATGTTGTAATTACTTGGACCCCTTCCTATGTAGAATATTTTGACAAAAATACTCGATCTACGAACTTCGGCATTCCATTCACAGAGGCGCTAAACGCACACCAATGTTTACATCTTTACGATTCTTGTTCTATCTATCAATACTCCTACAAAGTTTTGAGTCAATCTCATTTTTCGCGATGAGAGATTTTGACAAAACCCCAGGGTTTCTATGCATATCTTTGTTTTGAACGATTCTGAATCGAACTGACTGAATATAGATTAACTTTACCGAACCGAATTTATTGTAACTTCATCGTTGAATATACCCACACATATATTACTAAAATGTTTTTGCCACCCGCAGTACCTATTTCTAAACAATTTTGTTCGAAAAAGTAAATCAGAGTATGTACTTTAGGAAAAGAATATAATGATAATAATTGTTTTTATTATTTCACATAAATTGTTACAAGTATACTATAACATCAACTGACTCAAAGTATTCCATCCTTTTTTTCCTAAAGGCAAGTCCAATGTTATGACATCCATGGAACGTTTCGATTCAATGTCTTGTGGAGATTTCACAGCGCTGTCTATATCACAGAACGCACAAACCTTTGTTTTAAATAATATTATCAGTCCTGTCACCGTATAGAAATTGAGCAAATGAAAGAAACAATATTGATCCAAAATGTTTTGATGGAAAATACTATCAGATTAACAGAAATCATATAATCCAAACTAAGAATAAGTATTTATCCCCTACTTAAAACTAAAGAAATCAAGTCATCGCAAAAATTTGAACCACACATAATTTTTTTTAAATCCGTATCTACAAAATCAATTCGAAAAATGATAGGTGTTGTCCTTAAAACTCTATTATACATGTTCATTTATCAAATAATTTTGGGAATTTATTTATGAAATCTTCTATCAGTCATTCTGATATCAATGAAAAAAATTTTAGAATACAATCATAGAAATAAGTCCAATTTTGAGTAACTGATTAATTATTTCATAAACGATCCAATCATTCGATTATTGGAAGGAATGAGATTTAAAATTTTCTGAAGAGACTAGCTAAAACATACATTCATTTGAATATTCAGAAAAAAATCTAAATTTTACAATTTTTTCAATCGGTCGAAATATTTCATTCAGAATGTGTTTTCGTAAGCTTCTAAAAAGTTGTAAAATTCAAAATTACCTCCCTGTTTTTAATTTTTTTGATTTTCAATTTTTTTCCTCTCAATAGAAAGCCTGTGATTTTAGATTATGATAATAATATTGCATTATTATATTTTTTGATGGGAAGACTATTTCAGAGACTCCGTCATTATATTTATGGGACAGTCAAAATGGCGTTTTGAAAAAAGAATTTGAAATGGGTTTTTCTGTTAACCAACTGAAAGATAATGCTGACTTGGGAATAGAAAAACTGACTGAAAATTTTGAAAATAATATATTTTTGTTCCATTTCACTTCTTTAAAAACATTTAGAACATAGGCACATTTTTTCTCTGTAATTGACTGGTTGAACAATTAAAATATATAGGTACAGGGTGAACAAAAGTATGTTGAAATAGTCAAGTGACGTATTCCTGACACACTTTTAAGAAAAAAGTGTTGAAATTGATTTTTTTTTTTTCGTTTTTTACAAATGAATTTTGGAAAAAAATAAGTTATTTGCACGAAATTTGGTACCCGTGATTTCCGCGTTTGCCGTGGGAAATCATAATTTCGTATTGATTTTCATGTAACATCTAGAGGGCGCTACGTCCGCTGTCATTTATTTCAAACTGAAAATTAAAAATTATTAATAACAAATGAAAATTAAAAATTGAAAGATTCCAAGCCAGGTTACTTCACGACGTTTCGATTGTTAGTATCCACAATCTTCTTCAGGTGATGAATGTCATCACCCGAATCTTTCAATTTTAATTTCTTGTTAATAATTCTTAATTTTCCAGTCATCACCCGAAGACGATCGTGGATACTTACAATCGAAACGTTTCGAAGAAACTTGGCTTGGAATCTTTCAATTTTCAATATTTCAAAGTGCCCTAACTTTTTTGACAATAAACATTTGGTACTAGTAAAAAAGATACACTACCTCAAAAACACCGAAGGTGACGCATATTATTTAGCTCCTAGTTGCTGAGAACATTATAAAACTAAGTATGTGGTGGATCTCATCAAAATAAGCAACTTTTTCCGTTAAATGTTTATCGAAAAATCATTCGTTTTCGAGATACCTATAAATAACTGAAATTGCAAAAAACTTATGACAAAAACCAAGCATGTTTTAAAAAATTTCAACAATTTGTACTTTTTTCACTTGGAAAAGGTGTGGGAAATATGCGTTTTCATACAAAGAACAAAAAGTTTACTGTCAAAAGTTAGGGCAATTTGAAATAGATAATGACAGAGTACGCAACTCTACATGTTACCTACATGAAAATTAATACAAAATTATGATTTCCCAGGTCATAAAAACCCTGGGTTCCAAATTACGTACAAATAACTTTTTTTGAAGAAGTTATTTTCGACAAATGAACAAAAAAATTCAATTTCAACACTCTGTATCTCCGAAACGAAGCATTTCCGGACACAAGTTTATATAGACTTTTTTCTTACAATTGTCTCAAGAATACGTCACTTGAATATTTTAACGTACCTATGTTACATCCTGTATATTATATCATTTAACAATAAAACATACACAATCACGACAAAAATTATTTTCAGAATATGGTTTTTGAATTACAGTAAGTAGATAACTGATTTCATTATCGAATTCACTTGATTTCAGCTGTTTCAGAGTTTCACTTAAAAAATTAATATGCCATAGAATGTATTAAATTATGGATCTTCATAGTAGGGAATTCTTTCCACTTTTTGTGTTACGGAAACATCCGTGTATACTCTACCTCGAGGTTTCACCATCATTATTGTCTTCTTCAATGAATAGTTGCCCAACCAATGTTCCCATATTATTCCTCTGAAGTAAGAATTTTCGTTCGGTTTTCGATAATAAATACCATTCAAATTGGATTCAAAACACCTGGAAAATTATGGAAATTAAATTATTCTAGTATTTACAAAACATGAACATACGTTAATGTGATGATTCAATAAAGAAAACTCAAACCTCTGCAAGATATTCACTTTTACATTTTACTTTCATTCTAAACTCAGCTTTATGCCAGTTTGAGTATAAATTTTACGTACTGATATGTCTTTTTTACAATTATAACAAATAGTTTTGAGTAATGTTTCAGGAATATTCTTCTTCATTAATGTTGCTTCCAGCCCCATTCCAGTTCTGTTAGTTTTTTGCTGATAGTATGTCCATGTACAATGTTGTATTGCTGTGACTATTGGAAGTTTTCCCAAATGAACGACGATTTTACTCTTGCTAATCGGTATTTATAGGATTTCCATTTATTTAGTATCACATATTGTTTATATTTGAAAATGGATTCCAAAAAGTATAGCCCATTTGAAGCTATATTTTTTTACCTTCATCCTTTATAAAAAAAATATTGTCCAATCATTACACATTTTTATCGGTTGATAATAATTTTAATGTTTTTTGAATTTCAAACCTATGCACAACACTATTTGATGTGACTGAAAATGTTATAATTATCTGTACCGGAAAATGGAAAAGATAGTATTTCGTTAGTTCGGACTTCCATTGTCTGAAATCCCTGAAAGAACTAATAAAAGAAGAATTAAAAAATAGATGAAAATAATAATTATATTGAGTAAAAAAACCTGAAATGAAATAACAGTGAAATAAAATAAAAGTAAAATAGAACAATTGAACAAAAATAAAATAAAAATTGAGAGATTTCAAGCCAAGTTACTTCATGACGTTTCGATTGTTAGTATCCACAATCGTCTTCGGGTGATGACTGGACTAATTCCTCCGAAAGATGACTATTTATGGTTCATTCGAGTACTTTCACTTATCTGTGCTTTCCTTTTTCGGCTTCACCGGTTTAGCGGGAGATGACCATTTGGCGGGAGTTGGCCATTTTCGCTTGATTATTGGTTTTCATATGTTGCGTATTTCTACGCTAGCTTGGCTGAATATATTGTTGGACAACATGTATGCGGCTTCTTTGAATATCCTCCTAAACCAAAGTTCCTCCCTGTGTATGATCCCAGCTTGGGACCACTCGATGTTATGTGGATGGTCCAAACATGGTCTGCTATTCCTGATTTGCTGGTTTCTCCTCGCTGTGTTTGTTTCTTGTGCTAGGCAATGCGAACTTTCAATGGCCTCTCAGTCTCACCGATATAGGATTTTCCGCACTCACAGGGTATCTGGTAAATGCAATTCTTGGAATCACAGTCCGCGTTTGGTGGCCTGGTTTTTGTGAGGCTGCTACGGATAGTGTTTTCGGATCTAAAGCAGGTTCTGATGTTGTACTTGGACCCAATTCTTCTTATCCTTTCCGATAATCCTCTGATGTAGGGAAGTACAAGCACTGGTTGTGACAGCTTCTCTTCCTTGCGAGGCTCCTGCTGTCTTTTAGCCAAAGTCTGTTCCACCATCGCTTTGGAGTAGCCATTTCGTTGAAGATCATTTTTGATGATGTCTAGTTCCTACTCGAGACCTTCCTTCGTATTACGGAGCCCGAAAGCACGGTTTTTCAGGGATTTCAAATCATTTCATATAATATCAGACAATGGAAGTCCGATCTAACGAAATTCATCATGAAACATTGTCAATCACCTTCAAACAAAGATAGTAAGTATATTTATTATAACGGAAAAATATATAAAACTGAGTCTAAGTTAATAAAAGGGATGAAATGGGGTGAAATTTGATTGATGGAAAATGGGTTTTCACAATTACCATCGAAATTAGACTTTTCATCGGGAGAACTCAAAAATCAAAGTACCTATAGGTACAGTACTTAGTAATTATGGTAATATTTCAAGTCTGATTTTCATACCTATTGAACCACCAACCTCCTCCATAAGATACAGCACAAGGACAGCACTCTGGGGCTTGATCATACGTCCTATCAAAAGTACTGAAGTAAGATCCCGTATGGCTGGAGAATGAGTCCGAGGAGTTACCGGTGTAGCCTCCCACCGTTAATTTATACTTTTCTTCTTCAGAACCTACAAAGAAGGTGTCGTACTCAGCCCATACCATGTTATTGTCGAAATCTCCTAGTTCTATCCTCAACACCAAATTATAATCATTGGAAAACTTATGCAAGAACTCGTTTCCTATCCAGAAGTCTTGGTGAAGATTTCCGAATCCATATTTGTATGCTTCCCAGGAAACGTTAAAGTTATGCTGAGGGTTGTAGTTGTCCCTTCTCTGTATCACAGTCCATAAGCCGTCGTTTCTTATCTCACAGTATCTTTTGTTGAAGAACATTTCCTCACTTGCTTCGTGTTTTTCGAAAATATACACCCCACTGTTTTCATCTTTCGTTAAATCTTGACAGGATGATTTATTTTGGTTGATCATCGGTTTCCAGGAAGGTTCAAGTTCTTCTGTATAATCAAGTTCAGTCACATTTTCATTTGTGGGTGCAGTGATCCCATAAATTTTGGGTGTACTGCTCTCGAAGGTTTCTTCAGTGGGTAAACTTTCGGTCTGATAACGAGCTGCTGATGAGGTTAGAGTGGATATTGGTGAATTTACTGAAGGGGTTGTATCATCCCAATGTATACCAGCAGACACTGTTGATTTGACTGCAGGGGTTGTATCATTCCACCACGTACGAGCGGACACTTTTGAATTTACTGATGGCGTTGTATTTTCCCACCTAGCTCTACCAGATCTGCGCATAATTCCTTCGAAATGCGCTCTCTGCTCACTGAAATAACTTCCCAGAATGCTATACAGATCAGTTGATTTCTCTTTGATTGCTTCTAAGATTTCAGAATGGAATTTCCTGTTTGTTATTTTTTCATAATGTGTGTTTTCTGTGTCTAGGATGACGAGAGTAGCGTTTTCTATTCTTATCGTCCTGTTCAGAATTTCTTCTAGAAGGTTCATTTGGTTACAAGATTTTTTCGCTGCTTTCCTTGAACCCTCTCCAGTTGTCTGGTATTTCAAATCTATTACTCCACCACTTCCTTCGCTCATCTCTAAATATTCGCTATCATAATCAAGATTCTGTGTATTGGCTTTATCTTTAGTGACTGTGTCAAACATAACATCAACTTTTGAAGAAACGTCATTCAACAGGTCTTCCAGCAGTCGTGGGGTGTTACATTTTATCTGCAGCTTAGCTTTATCGACTCCTTTGGATTTTATTAATGTATTTTGATTAGCTAATAATAATCTGTCGAGTTTTTTCTCCACCATTTTGATCGAGCTTAGGACTCCTCTTGAAGTAAACTCACTTAGTAAAGAATCGTGGACGATTTGATAACTTTTGGATTGTGCTACAGTTTCTAAATTAGAGACAGTATCCTGTACTTGACTCAAGGTTTGCATTACTTTATCCAACTTGTACTCTAAAGTAAGAATTGTATTCATTTTGTTATCTAGCGAAAGAAAGCTTTCTTGGCCCCTGAAACGTTAAGAAAGTAAGTGATACACTCATGTAATGGTTTTTACGATTTGTACTTGCTTATGATGTCCATTTTTCTATCTAATGAAGCTAACTGTTCATTCCATGCTGACAAATGTAATTGAAAAGTATCCCAGACATGAGCTCTTTCCTGCAGATTGTGAATGTTGCTATCTATGCTTGCTAACGTGGAAGCCATGGAAGTTATTCTCGGTTCTAGAGAAGTTATGAACAGAGTATTCCATTTTTCCCATTGGTCTTGAATACAGAATGGAAATTACAGATCTATATTATCACAAACAAAGGGTAATGATATATCAACAGTCAGTTGAATTGCACCGAAATGTGGTACGTACAAATGAGAAAAACCAGTCAAACCCTGCCTGATAGATTGGTTATATATGATCTTATTTTGAGAAATAACTGTTTCCAAGGAATTATTATAAAAATGACAATAGGTATGTCGAAATTACTGTTTATTGACCTTTCCTCAGACTCGACACCTTACACAACTAGAAAAAAATCATGTAATGGAATTGACCGAAAATCCATATANTTTCATGCTTAATATTTCAATAAAAAAAAATTGAGATTGATTGAAAAATGCACATTCTACAGGGGTGGTTCCATTTTAAATGGGTCACACTGTATATATATATATATATATGTATCTATCAATATTAACATTAACAATTGTATTCAAACTGAATGTTTTATCTTCATCTAAGTATTTTTCTGCTCATTCCCCTATTGATGTCAATTTAATAACCACCGATAGACAGCTGTTTCAGCCTATTGGGCATCGTCAGTATCGGGCAGGTCAAGAACAGTACTTAATGAACGTAACTGCGTTAACGCAAGCGAGACATAAGTGGAACCACATATTGGCTGCGCAGAAAGCAGAAGTCGGTGATGATGGGGCAAGTACCCCGGTTTCGGGGTACTTGCCCCCGAAAATTTGAAGTTGTAAACCGATTTTAATAATTTTTTTATGGAAATGTCAATAAAATTGACAATGGGACAAAATTTGGAATGTTTATTAAAGTTTCAGGGCATATTACGATATTTTTTCTTAGTCGAAAATCGGGATTTTTTATTAACGATTTTTTTATTGAAAAAAATCACTACGCCACTGGATTCAGAGTGCCTCTAAATAGGTGTGACCAAAATTTCATGAAAAAATATTCATTAATAATAAAGTTATGACAACTCAAAAATTCGAAAACTCACACAGCTAACAGTCACAATATATAATTTTTTTATGATAGCGTAAACATGTTTAATGAAGATAACGGAAAATTCAACTAACAATGAAGCAAAAAATTTTAATAAACGTAACTAATAACTAATTATTGAAATGTTTCGATTCAGTGCAACAATTAATTCTAACTCATATTCTAGTAGCCTCTACTAATCCACCACATATTTCGATACATGTGTCGTAGCGCTTACGAATGTTTCTGATTACGTTCCTTAGTTCTTGAGGGCTAATATCTGCACATACCNACAAAAACAAAAACAAAAACAAAAACAAAAACAAAAACAAAAACAAAAACAAAAACAAAAACAAAAACAAAAACAAAAACAAAAACAAAAACAAAAACAAAAACAAAAACAAAAACAAAAACAAAAACAAAAACAAAAACAAAAACAAAAACAAAAACAAAACAAAACAAAACAAAACAAAACAAAACAAAACAAAACAAAACAAAATAAAACAAACACAAAACAAAAATGAAACAGTATTGAAAACAAAACAGAAACAAAAAAAACCAAAGCAAAGCAATACGTTTCTGTTCGAATACGAACAGAAAGAAAAAACCTAACGAAACAAGTACTTTCAAACATGAAAATTGAATTCGTTTGAACCACTTTTTCTCATTCAGTTTGAACTCCAAAAAATAATCATAGTGATAATAATAATAATTATAACCATCATATTCCATTTGTTCACTGGTCCATATAGACTTCCAGATACATGATTGAGAGAGAAATTTTAAACCAGAATGACAAGTATCAAACCAACATGTTACGCTTATTATTCTTTTGATTCCCTCAACCTAGATATAGTAATTTCCTAAAAATCAAATGTCCAGACGTCTAGGAGAAGAGGGATCAATAATTAAGCTGCAGGTGGATAGACTGTTATTATACTCGACCTTGAGGTCTCTTTCACACGGGGAGCTTCACGTCTCTCGCTCCTATACGAGAGCGTTCATCACTCCTACCTACGGCCCATCCAAAGCGGAAGCCTTTGCAGTTCCTGGCTCCTTGAGCTCAGTCATGAAATGAAATTATTTCCGAATGTCGTCTGCTTCATTTGATGAGCTCCTAGATAAGGTGAACTTAGCCAGTCTAAGTTAAGGGAAGAGACAGTCAACTAGGGAAGAGAGGGAGAGCCGTTTTCACTCCTCTTATGACAGACCCCACTTATCTTTTTGCATTTTGAGGAGAGGACGTGGCTCCCCGAATCGAGATGTATGAGACGTGAGAGCTCTCGTCTCCTGAGACGTGGCGGTTTCCGCTCTTAGATTCTAACGGATTTCATAATTCCAATAGTTTCTGTAGGATAGGTGAGTGTAGGGGTATAGGAGTGTAGGTACATTCTCCCAAGGAGTTGTCCTCCTAAGTCATCGTCGATCCTGTCCTTTTCAGAAATGTGAACAGGTCACTAGTAGACATCTCCTTCATATCGGCAGGTGTAGGCCAAGACTCGCCGAATATACACTCTCTTATTGACGATAACTTCAGACACTCGCATAGGACATGCCTGACAGTTTCATCTTCCTGTTCACACATCCTGCATAGAGGTGTGTCCACTAGCCTCATATTATGAAGGTGTTTTTTTAGTTGACAGTGGCCAGTTAGAAATCCTACTGTCAAGCGTAGATAGACCCAAATCTTTAGGGATTGAGAATGGGTGTAACGTTTGGCTAGTTCCGCAATTGTCGAAATCATCAGGCCGTAGGTGCCACTGGGTCCCAAAATTCTTAGTCCAGCCGCTTCCTTGGCTGAAGAGTCGGTAATGCGATTACCTTTACTCCTGTCGTGCATTTTAATCCATCCTGTCCAGAGGGGACAGACCAGTAATTAATTCCATTGCCGCAGTTGGTTTTATTCTCATGATGTTTAAACAAGCCAATCGTTGTATTTGATATAATTTTTGGATTGCCGTTGCTTGTAGAAATTTCTACAAGGGTGTATCAATCCCCCTTAATCCCCCCCTGGCTACGATCTTGGATTCTAGTCACACGTATCTACGGAAGAATTGGGAATTGAAACTACACAACACACAGTATATTGGCTGTACTCAATGATGGTTGAACCTACGATAACATATAATTCTTTGTATCGGTGGCCAAATATGAAAAATGCGACTGCTTTTAAAAAACTAGATAGAGTTAAATACTTGCTCATTTGGGAATAACAGAGGCAATGAGATATATAAAATTCGACGTGAAAACTTTGAAAACTTCTGATGTGAGTTGGTTTTGGTCTTACTTTCTCGAGGAGATCGATCCAACAGTTGATTCCTGAATAGAAATAGGGATTGGAAAGGTCACTCATCGGTTTCTATCCTCAAGGTTACCCACTTTTTTCAATTCATTGAGGTAGGCACCGAAAAAAGATTAAGAAGTTCTATCAAAAACGAATGTTACATTTTTTCGTAATTTATGCTAATTGATAATTTTTACAAGTTTTACTAATTGAGCTTCATGTAGTTTGCAAGAATTGCTTCAGTTATTTTTTGAAAACGTAGGAAGTGGAAATTAATGTTTGTAATGAGACAATAATGAAAGTGATCAATTATTAGCATTACATTCATTGACATTTTTGACAGTGACTGGCACTCTTGAACACAATGACTGTTACATTGCTAATGAGTTGACATTTGAACAAGATTGGACACCTGCTTTTCATTAGTATCTGAATGATATCTCACCTTTATTACTATATGAAATCAAGCATTTGGAACATTCGTTGAAGTTCAAAGTTAGTAAATAGACCGGTGAATGTTATTTATTTTTTTATCCATTGATTCCTCTTCGTGAGATCGAAACTTTGAAGATGTACTTCGAAAAAATGACCCTTTTCCGAAAAAAAAAAATTTCATTTGATAATTGTCAAAAATTAAGTTTCTTCATGTTGACTTATCTTTAACTCTCGTCGAGAAGGTGAAGGTAATAAGATGAAACCGATGACATAATTATCTCCCTTCCCCAAGATGGAATATCTAAAATTGTGGATATCTTCAATAGTTATGACCCTTATATACAGTTTACCATAGAAACTGAAAACAACGAACAATGGGTTCCGAACATCGGATTATCAGAACACCCGATAATTGTCCTTCTCATGTCTGGTCCTTCTCATAGACTGGTATGGTAAACCTATCAGTTCTGGAAGGTTATTGAACTACTGGTCATACCACAAACAATCAACGAAAATTAACTTGGTCAAACAAATGAAGAACAGCATTTTACAAATTTTTGATCCTTCATTTCATTCAAAAGACTCAAAAATACTTTTCCAATTATTCACCAATAACTCTTACCCAGATCCTCTACTCAAGAAGATCTTATTCAGTACGTCATCCATTGATGTTCAAGTTGATAATAACAACCAGTTGGATAGAAATCCTTTACAATCAAATAATATCACAATTGGGACTGATCCACCTCCAGTTCCTATAGTCTTCACCTCCTTACCATATATTAGTGATATGACACCCAAGCTATGCAGAATCTTTGATACTTTAAATATCAAAATAGCATTTTAGCAAAAAACCATTTTAACCATAAATAAATTATTTTCAATACTTAAGGATAAAACTCCTACTTCAATTGTAGTAATGAATAAATTGGTCAAACGTCAAGACTGCTTAAAGATAGAATCACTTCACACAAAAGTGATAGTAGAAAATATCCTGAGAGATATGCTCTTATCAATCACGTTTTTAAAGGTCACAACATGGACTACAATTCAACTAAAATCTTAGCAATTGAAAGAAATACATCTAAAAGGTTGTTTTTGGAAATGTCATTTATATTACAATCAAATAATTGTCTCAATAAAAGATCAGACATTGATCACCTCAGCGATATTTATGCCTTCTTACTCAATACTGACAAAAATCTACATGATTTTCAAATCAGTAACAATGCTGAATTCTCAATAACTTAACTCGTAATAAATAAAAATTTTTAATAGAACATAACGAATGAACAACTTCCCTAAGACAGGGTTTTACTTCATTTTAATAATAAATTTTCAAGTTTTTGACATACAGATACAACTCCCCTGAGACAGGGCTTTACTTCCTTTCAATAATTATTTTTTATGTTTTTGACATTGGGTTTTCTCATTATTAATCTCATAAAACAGCAGTTGACTCTGATCACACTTGCACCATAACTGTTCTCTTTTGTTCCACACTGAAACATAAAGTTACAAACGAACGATCTTTCAAATTGAATCACAGAACAGCTGTCAGTGTCAATTGTTTTTATCTCGCTCTGTGGTCTGCAACCACATGGCTTTTACCAGTAAATTATAATTTTCAAACCATAACGATTTTATTATGTAAATTCAAATAATCTTCCTTGTATCAGTGAGGAGTCAAAACTTTCTTTTAATATGGTAACTTGTTTTATCTTATTGACATGTTTCAACTATTTAAATGTAACATTCTTTTTGACACGACCATCCTCACTAACAGTAAGTTGAGCCTTTTTAGGTAACAAAATTTATATTATTGCATCACATTTTTTGAAGCTCTTCCTTAATAATGATAATACACTTTATCGAAATATTGGAATAACTTGTGTCATAAGAGTACACTTCCGTTCTGNCGTTTAAATCACTTTTTCTCATTCAGTTTGAACTCCAAAAAATATTGATAGTGATTGTAATAATAATCATAACAATCATATTCCATTTGTTGAAAACTACATAAAAAATACAGCGTATAACATCAAAATAAACTTGATAACATGTAAATGGAATATTAACAAAATATTTATTTCTATTGATAGAACCTCATACGTACAGAGTTTCCAAAATTCTAGGATGATCATTGAAATCTCGGAAATCGTAAGAGATACAGGGTTGATTTAATCAAGACAAAGTTGCGGAATTTGTTACTCTCCAAAATGATGTCTTGAAGAAAACGAAAATGCGCGATTTTGTTTTAATTTTTTTTGAGGTTATTTGAAGCTCTATCAAAAACAAGAAACTTTTCTTGCTGCAACTTTTTTCGTTCTACAACAAGCAGTACTCAGATCACGAATCCGACGTTTCGTTCTTCAGAAACCATCATTATCTTTGTATTTTCTTTTCTTGTTTTTTTACATTTTGTCTTCAATCGAGGACCGCCTGCCCGGTACTCACGATGCCCAATAGGCTGAAACAGCTGTCTTCCGGTGGCTCTTAAATTGGAATCAATATGGGAATGATATGATATACATATACATATACATACTGACATTCTCGTGCACCAAAGGGAATTTTATGGGAGCTGATCCAATAAATGTGTTTAGCTATACAGCGTGGTAATTCAGCTTCCTTTTTTGGCACCATTGTAGATGTCTGAAGGTTCTACAGAGGAATGAAATGTGAAATGAATGAGAATACTATATTTACTACTTTTTCCTTATGAGTTGAAATTACATGATGTATATTTCTTAACTCTCAAAATATCTTATAATAAAAAAACAAATGAATTCAGATTGGATGAAACAGATTTTCTTGTTGATAATTGTCCCACGTTTCATTAGGCCATATTATACTTTCAATCCAGGACACATAATGAGATACTCTAGTATATACTCCTGGGGAAGAAGAAAGACCACACGGCTTCCCGAAAGATGTTATACCAATCAAATCATTAACATTTACTGTATAAGATCTCTCCTTATTTTTTACTTGAAGAGGACAACCAGAATCTCCCTGAAAATAAATTGGTTATTTCGTGAATTTTTGATATGAATGGATATCATTTTCTTATGAAAATATTTCACTGTGGTTTTGACGTTGAATTTGGTCATTATTACGCCTTGGTCAAAGACGAAACGGACTGGTTTAAGTTTGACGATAGTCGTGTCAAGTGTTTTGGCGATGTATTGAATTTATTGGAGCCTCTGGAGACACCCTACATTTTGTTTTATGAGAGAGAAGACATTGGCAGATCTAGGTCTTCAGATGATGTGGTGCTGCAGGTTTTTCCGGGTTTTCCTGCAGCTGAAAAAGCAAATGCGCCACTGGAATCAATGAAGTCGCCCCGGAGCGCTAATTAATTTTTATTACTGTTTTATAATTTCAAAAATTTGTAATATATCCTGAATAATGTAACTATTGTATGAAAAGTATTTACACCAAATTAGATATTTTGAAATTTCTTCTATATTTTTTATACAGTTGATTAGTAGGTGAACATAAGATGCCGAACTGAAAACAAAACGAGAATTTCAACTTTCCAAGATGCAAGATTTTCAAGTAGAATATTAATGTGATCAAGAAAAAGAAAAGCTTTTGCTTTCTTACTTCTCTATCTTTATATACACATTGTGAAAAACTTCGAGAAGAAGAATGAAAGCAATTAATTTCAAAATAAACCGGAAAAAAATAATACTTTCGAATCAACTACTTTTATATGAACATTGAATTATACATACTTTTTCTTATTCAGTTTGTACTCCGAACATTCGTTATGGAATTGAATCAGATATCATTCACAGGATTGTTACACAATATGAAAGCAATGAAATTTCTCTTATATGGACCCTGTCTTTCTTAATGGCGAATCTGAATGACATTATAAGATGAAGTATTCAATTTTTTATAACATTACGACTTTATGTGACGAATGAGATAATCTACTCATGTCACGATTACAGTATGTAATGATATTCATTCACTCATTTGATGGCCATAGGAATATTGTTTGATTTGAAATGGTAGTTTTTAGGAGACAATCACTTTTTGAAAAGAGAGGTTTAGGTTTTCTATTTCTTCATCTTCATACAAAAATATGGGAAACCTCCAAAGGAAAGAATAAATCAATGAAATTCACAATAAACTCTCTGCAAATATTGTAGATCTGGCATAGAAGTACCTTTCAAGTACAAACTGGAAAGAGACGCACTCTTGAAACAACTACTTTATATGAAAAAAATATTTACCATATTGACTGATTGTACCCAGAAAAAAATTTTCTTCAAATGTTTTGCATTACATATTTTTGAGTAGACTGTTATTACCAACGAATTTTTTTTGGGAAGTAGGGAAGAGACAATACGCAGGAGAGGTAAAAATTCAAATATAACCTCCATTTTCGAATACATACAGAGTGTTTCCTAACTAAGGTGATGGTGATTCGTTAGGTCGTATTAAGAAAAAAAGCTCCTATGAACATATGTCCGGAGTTGCTTCGTTTCTGAGATACAGAGCGTTGAAGTTTAAAAAAACCGTATTTATGAAATATCATTACTATTTGAATTAAAGGGGTTATATTTTTAGGAGTGATAATTTTTGGGAAAGAAAGTTTTTGGCTTTCTACTACTTCATCTTGATACAAAAAACCAGGATGAGGGAATCTTCCAAGGAAAGGAAATCTGATAAAAAACACGACCGCAATCGATTTGTCATTGATTGTCTGACACGTTGAAAAATACCTGTAGCATTAATTTCTTACGATATTACAATTGTTAATTATTTGATTCCTCAAGTCATTCACATCCAGTACAGGAGTTTTATAAACAAGATCCTATCTATAGGTTTCATATCAGGACTACAGCTGGCAATTTTGTGATCGTCCAATCCAGCGATTAGGGTAGGTGATGACGAAATGCTGACGAGCAAGAAAAGTAAAAAGAGTTGGAGCGTCGTCGCGCATAAACCAAATGTTTCCTCTTACCAGTACGACACTTTTAACAAAATGGGTAAATGATGTCGCAAAAAGTCATTGTAGAATTCACCTGTTAATCTTGCTGGTAGAAAAATTGGCGAACTATATAGTCATCGACCATTCCTATCCAAACGTTCGTCGTTTCAAAAATTGCCATTATGAAAGTTCATAATGGCATGTCGTGAAAATTTGCTTCGTCTGTAAATAAAATAGTTGGTAAAAAGTTATTACTTTGTCACATAGTATGAATCAACCAACTGCAAAACATTAATGTTGGGTGAAAATTCCAAAGCAGTAGAGCTTGAACCCGTTGATATGGGTATTGGAGGTTTCTTTTTAGAATTGTCCATATGGTTTTTGGGCTGACTTCCAGCTGCAGTGCAAGCTTCCTGGCACTATTCGAAGGATTTTCTTCTATCGCATCTAGTATAGCTTCTTCTAGTTCTGGCGTTATTACAGTTTCTAGTCTTCCACCACCTGCATTTTTATTAAAACTCCCAGTTCCACATCATCTTGCATAGAGCGTTCTAAATGTTTTAGCACATGGAATGAATCTGTTAAGATATCTATCCTGGTAAATTCTACGTGCTTCTTCCGCAGTTCCATTGGCTAATCCATAAATAAAGTGCATATCCGCCATTTAAGCGTTAGCGAAACTATTCATGATGGAATCACTGCTAAATGACAACTCTGACTTTTACTGATATGACAACACTATCACTGTTAGCTAGTCTCCAAAGCAGGTGGTGCAAAGTGGCTTCAATTTTTTTTCCGAAAACGAAGCTAGATATGAAGGAAATACAAGCGACAACAAAGTTGTATTTTCAGTTGATGATTCTGAAAAATGAAAAAACTACAACAGGTCAGTGGCGTACTTTTTTCCCAATATTGTTGACTCTGGTGTCCACTGAGACTCCACTGGACCTGATGAGTAAGGGCTAAATAAGCGTCTTATCACTCCAAATAACTGTAGCAAATTTCAACCAAATCATTCAACCATAAACGAGCATGTTTCAATGAAAACTTTTTTTCTCAAAACGACCTAACGAATCACCCTCTGAAATTTTGTACCATAGTTAGGAAACACCTTGTATATCAACTGCTTGGGACAAAATATTTTCATGAGCAAATGTACGAACAAAAGTTCAGTTTCAATGTGCGGGTTGTCTTGAAATGCACTTAATTTTCATTGTATAATATTATATAATGAATGTTTATATAATAGCTTCATGAATGATGGATGATTTCACACGATAACTTATTTATTAATTATTCACCTGACAAGTATCTCGACCTATGCCTCCTCTTGCACAAACTTGCAATTGCTCAAGAATTCCATTGGATAATAATCTTCTAGATACATTTGGGTAATAGTTTCGACAGTCAATATTATCAACATGAAACAAATTTATTTTCAATAAGTGGTTGCTGAAGTCTCCAAGGTATTCTTTTTTACCCCAGCCACTGGCAGTCAAGGATGTGGCTAAAATTATAAAAATCCGATATGAATATTTGGAGATATTGATTTTTCTGCAGCAATCATTGTTCTTTTTCCTGAAATTACTAATATTTAGGTTTTAATTTTTGTTTCATGACGACCTTTGCCGTCATAAATTAATGACGGCAAAGTTGCTCTTGTACTGAATAAATTGACATTTGGATCTGTATCCGAATTTATTTCATTAGTTCGGACTTCCATTGTCTAATATGATCTAAATTGATTTAAAATCCCTGAAAAAATCTATAAAANGAAGAACTGTTTTGCTCGATATCTCTGATATCTTGCAAAGACACGCCAAGTGGATTTTAATCAATATTGGGATTGGGACGATCAGTCACAGTGCTGGGTAAAAAAATCTTCTTCGGTGAAAATATCCCTATCGAAAGGATAGATAGCGGTTATTTTGAAGGAATTAATGATATTTGTTGGAGTCATTGCCTTGATGAAAGCTATCCCTATTAGCTCAGCTATATCATAGATCGTCACTGGTTTTCCTGGATTTTTAAGCTGCCAAGATTTCATTGCGGCGCTGTAATAACTTTTGAATGGCGAATAAATACCCACGTCCAAGGGCTGCAGCTTTGCTGACGTATGAGGGTGCAGTGTTAATATTGTTACATCGGTTTCTTTAGCTAAATCTAAAGCTTCTATAGATAAGTGCGACTCATGGTTGTCCATAATTGACAATGAAGGATTTTCTTGAGAACTCGAGGTATGTTTAATGAAATGTTTCATTGTAGTAACAAATAGCTCACTATTCATCCAACCAGATGATGTAGCTAATCCTAATGATCCAGGGGGAGCACCTTTAAGCATGTGGTCCTTATAGTTTTTCCTGGGAAAAATCAGTACCGGAGGTAAAGCTTGGCCACTTGCACTAATAAAGCAGCAAGTTGTTATCAGGGTGCCTTTTTCACCGCTTGTCACTTTTCCAATATTCTTGCCTTTAGGACCAATTACCTTTTGAGGTTTCTGCACCGTAGTTGTTGCCGTCTCATCTAGATTGAACACTCTAGTACCATCAGCAAATGAAGAATGTCTTTTGTAAACTTCTTGTGGATTATCGAAGAATACGTTAACAATATCCTTGTGCTTCTGGTTTGCGTAAAGACAGTTCATTATGACGCTTGCGAAAAGATTTTAACCAATCAATACCTGCCATCTGGTTTGAAATCCATGACTGTGGCATTTTGAGTTTGTTTATAACAGCCATTTCATATGCAACTTTCTGACAATCTTTTGTCGTTAAGCCGTAAAACATAAGAGCACAATTATTGTAATATTCGGTAAGTGCTTGTTCTTGCTCATCCGTAAAAACTTTATTAATGTCATAATGTGGCACAAGTTGTACATTTTCGACACTTTTCGATGCTTTTGCTTTGGCTGCATAACGCTGTAGCGTTGAAAATGGAATATCTTTTTCTTTTGCTACAACAATAACATTTGATCATTTTCGTCGCAGTGGACACAGTGGGTCAACCAACTGTGCCCACTTTACAAATGACCCACTGTATACCACTCACGCCAATTTAATTTTCTGACGCAATAACAGAAATGTTCACTGTGATGATAATCCTTAATGAACTGTCAAATGAAGCCTTAATAATAACTACTTATTGCCTTAACATTATAACTCAGGGGATAAGATTAATAGATACGGAATAAATAACTTACATTTTTTTGAAACTTTTCCACCCTCGAATCACAAATTGTTTTCTGTAACGTACACTACACTTGTGAGCGGCGCACTGACTGGAGTGGTAAGGCTTATATCCCAACGCGAATCTACTGTGAAAAAGACGCAACTATTGCTTTACTCTATCTGTCCAATATGGCGTCAACTCACTGTGCCCTTCTGACCCACTGTTGCCACAATGACCCTACATATATGAATCACCTTTTTGTGCACGAAAGACAATGGGATTATGGTTTTACCGGTTAGTTCCAATTAACATATTTTTGAATTTTTAAAGTAAAAAAACCCAAGTTAGGAATCACACGTTAAAAGGTAAGACTTCGTTAGTCCATAGCTCAGACAAGTTTCGAATTCTGAGAGTTGTCTTTCGTAAGGGGGCCATAACTGGTTAACGGAAAAACAGATTTTGAAAGTCCTTTTTTAATGGCTGACCAGAAACAACCAATATTGAGAAAAGAAAAGATATCTTCTCGAAAGAGGTATTATAGAAAGATTTGGCGAAGTCTGGTTTTAATATATGCATATTGTGCGTACCGCATAAAAATCTATGAACATTTTTCTTATTAACGAACATTCATAAAGTTATTTCATATACTTTTCTTTGCGTTAATATTAACGTGAGATCATATCTATGTGCCTAATCAAACTCTATCGGATCATACCTAATTATTAAATAAGATTTTTGTTTGCATGATTTGAACTCGATTTGGGCATAACTCGTGACAATTTTTAAACTATTGTTGTTATTTTTCAATACCGACACAGTCACATCTCATTTACATTAAAGATATAGCTCTAGCTACCAGACCTCTGTATCGAGACCAATATAATGTCGTAAATCATTCACTAAAAAAATTAACGCCGGCCGCCGCTGGTCGTCATGAATCAATTGTGACGTAGCCAAGATCTCGTACGATGTGCGCTTCGCGTTTCTTCTGGTAAGATTCAGCGTTGCTTTTGTAGACTTCTAGCGAATTCTACATTGGCGTCGAGAGAATTCTATTATCAGAGTGATCTAATAACGCCATAGACATTTAAATAATAGTTTTAGTTGAGGTGTTTGGTTGTATTGATAGTGAAATGAGATTATGTTTTATACAGTGTATTCATTTATTTTCAAACCCACGGAGAAAACGTAACAATAAGAACATGTCAGGTGTGTCGACGTAAATGATTTTATGCCATGTCACGGAAAATTCAGAATATGGAATCACTTTTAGTTGCTTTCTTGGATATTGTGGTCGCATTTGATAATACATCCTTGGAATCAATCATTCAAGCAATGAGGAGGGGAGGAATCGACGACACAAGCTACAGGTGGATAGAATACATGTTCAGAGAAAAATTGGTACACACCATCATTATGCGAAGAGCATGGAAAGCACGTGGTTATCCTCATAGGAAGGAGTTGTCTCCACTGTTATTGAACGTTGTAATGGATGAGTAACTACATTTTCTGGACAAAAAGTACTGGGCTACGTAGACAATTTCGCCATTCTAGGCTGAGGCGAATATAATAATATAGTAAAAGAAAACCTCTAGCAGGTCCAGAATCTTATTATAAGATAGGCCGATGAAGTAAAGCTGAAGACGAACTAACAGGGCCGAAACTGAGGTTTAAAACCTCTCAAACTTACAGGAGGAGATCAAATATCTGGGATGAATACTAGATGACAGGCTGGCCTGAAACAACATCCAGAAAAAGTATCACGAAAGGCAGATGTAGCACTTATTTTGACAGCACGCTCAAACATGATATATTGGCTCCACACCATGGTAGTTATATGACAACATTTGCATCTATAATCTGGTTGCCAACGATTAAGCAAGAGTCCACTTAACAAACTTAGCAAGATGCGAAGACTTCTATGTTCGGGAATAATGGAAGCAATAAAAACCACAGCAATAACTGCATTGAAGATCAATTGAATCTTCCTCCTTACATCTTGTAATAATGGGGGAAGCAAAAGTGGACCAATTCAGACTGAAAAATTCATCGAGCCACATGAGATCGTAGTCAAAAGGGACTTGTAGTACCAAAAGTTGCGGTTAAGTCATTGCTGAGACTTGTAGATATTACCTGAGTCCTCGTGGTCAAAGCATATACTGGAGATGTCTACCGTTGTAGCAGACGAAATGTGATTTCGAAGAATGAGAAAATTTTATGAAAATAGTGAACGACGATATGTTGCATTTCCTACTCACTATTTACTTCTTTCTTGACGTGTAGACAAGCTGGAGAAACGTAAGCAGATAAAGCCACTTGCCGATCAAGCTGTAAAAGAGCTATATCGTTATACCTTGAAGGAGGCTTATAGTTGGGGTTATAAATTCTTCTGTAAACAGAGAAATCCTGAGGATCAGCATCATCAGTGTCGGTAGATAAATCCAAATCACCTAATCGTACCCATCTAACAAGTCCTCTGAAAAATGAATAGTTTATACATTAACTATGAGTTTTTTGATCGCTTCATATTTGAACATTGGTCAATGAATAATATCTTTGAATATCTAAATATTATAGCTGCATAGAAAATGGTAGGACTTGAAGATTTTAGAAACATAAGGCTCTGTTCATTCAATATTATTAGTTTCATTATTTGAAATGAATCTGTTCAATATCGTCTTCCGTAATTCAGAGATATAAAAATGTTGTTTTTACATAAACGTAAAGATATTCAAGTACCTACTATTGGAATTTGAAATGAATCAATCTAGTAGAGAGTGGAGATATTATTACAACAAAAAATCAAAGAAGAAACGATGATCGAATTGAAGGACATGTTGCTACATTTTAAATGAAATTGAACTCCCCACATTTTTGGCTATACTCACAGTTTTGGAGAGTCTAAACAATGTGCTGCTGTAAGGACGAAACGTTTGCTAATTAATGATCCTCCGCAATGCCACTGTTTGTTGGTTTCTTCGCCTGAGCCTAAGATTGCCTGAAAATAACGAAGAAGATATTGATATAAAGCGAATACATTCCAGAGTTCTTTGTTATAGTGTTAGTGTTTTGAAATCCAAAATATTCTTATGTTGGATGGTTTTCTATTCATTGTACATATATTTCATACATTGATGAAAAAATCCAATTTATCATCGCGGAAAAAAGTATCATGGAATATATTCAGTTATTCATCCTGTAGAGATTTCTTTTAATAATCAATTGGAAAAAATGATAATGGAGGTAGATAAATGAGTTCCTAGTGAGTACGTCTATTTGAACCTCTAGGGAAACCCTTGAGGTTTTATTGTGGCTCCCACCTATTCAAACTCGACCAAATTGATCTAGTCTCAGTGAAGTCGATCACTTTATTTGGTGACTGTCAAGAGTAGAATTTTGCGAAATGTTGAAAACTTTTGTGTGTATATGTGCTCTGCAATAAGGGCTTGAATTTACTCATGTAGGATAATCCATTCCAAGGTTGATAGACAATGGTACATCTTGGATACTGCTACTAACTGCACCTACCAGACAGGAAGTGCTCTCATGATCCTCAGAGATGAACTGTACCTATCCAGGTTGGAATGTGCAACTCTGCAATCGTATCTGTGGAATATCATCTACGCCAAATACGATGGCATGCTATAGAGATTTCAGTTGACAGGTCGGTATCGAGGTTGTTGGATGTTCAAGGTGCAAGACCTTAATGAAAACAGCAACTTCCTCATATGAAGGCATCGGTGAGTCAGTTGTATCAGACTATACATTATATTTAGCTATGCAGAGTTTTTCTGCTCCTGGTTTGAATATGTCATTGTTACAGCTTATGCTTTTGCTAACCTACCCAGAAAAAGTTTCATCTCCTGATCCATAGTCGGCTTCTGCTGCTCAAGAATTCGATTCAAGACAGATTCATGACACATCTCGCTTTCGAAAAGGCGCTAAATCGCTTGCTGGCTGCACCATCTAGTCTCCAGGTTCAAGTTTGATGAACTAAGAGGCTTTTGCCCTAGAAGAAGAACAGGGAGAACAGTTGGAGTTGTTTTGTTGACTATCATCTCCTTTGTAGACTTAAAGTGGGATTTTTCGGTTACTTCATGCTTCATATTACTTTCTCGAGTAACTAGAGAAAGAAGATCCTTCACGGTTAGACCTCTGCTTTACCCTAACAAGATTTTCTAAGACGAGAGAGCGTCCGGTATCTCGAAAGTTCTGTAAGTGACACAGAGAAAGCTCAGAGCCATACATACTGTTGTAAATCAAGTCCGAAAATGAATAACGCCGGCCGCCACTGGTAGCCATAAACCAGGCGAGACGTGGCTAAGAGCGCGAGAGTGTATGATGATTCCCCGCCAATCGAGAAGCAACTAGAATAATGTTACCGACTTCGACAGCACTTCGGAGAAATTTTGACGACATTCGATTACGATATTTGAAGGCTAGCCTCGAGGATATCGAGACAGTCGAGTGGACGTTACAGTGCGGTACGCGAAGTGATCCAGTAAGGAGATAGACATTTAAATTATAGTTGAAGTTTTAGTTGAAATATTTGTGTATTTAAAGTGAAATGAAGTCAAGTTTGATTATTCAGTGTAGTCAATTATTGGTGAACCCACGGGGAAAAATGTAATATTTGGTGTCAGAAGTGGGATAATTGACTGACAGCTTTTTGTTTTATAGTGAAAACAAGGAGTGTCAATTACGACGAGATGGAAGAACTTAAGAAAATTATCGAGGCATTGAAAGCGAGCCTGGCGGAGAATGAAAAACGCAGAAGAGAGGAGAAGAACGCAAAAGAGAGGAAGATGAAAGCAGAAGAGAGGCATGGCTACATACACAATAAGATGAGGCGTGATTTAGGAAGTCTTTCACCTCTGGAGGTGACACCTCACACGGTAAAGGTGATTTAATGCCCCCATGAATGCAAAATAGAATAGAAAGAAGTTTTCAGTCAGTCCTAAGATACCGTGATGAAATGAAGGTAGGACCTATATAACATACTCTTAATGCATATTTCACACAGTTTTCTAATGAAATTTTCTTCGTCATTGTAGGGTGAATTCAAAAATTAATTAATTTATATACCTACTCGGTAATCAGATTCAATAAAGAAAACATCACTGGAATCATACTCGACATTTTTTTCCAAATTATTTAGAAATATACTTTTGGATATAAATATTGTCACTTTCTCTTGCGTATCAAACTTGTTGGAATAATTTAAACAAAGACAATGGAAGTTCTAATCTTCAACATTCGCCAAGGTATACTATCAACCTCAGTCACAGGAATGACTTTGTTGTGGATGTTCTTTAACCTAAATTTCTTCATCTTAAAATTCAAACAAACAGCGTAAAACTCACCATATGCGGGAATTCCCTCGCCAGTGATTTCAGGCCTCCAGTTATATATATCGGATATTTTGGTTTTGGGTAGAATTGTTCACATTCTTGAACAAATAAAATGAAAATGATATTCGAATATCTAGAAAACATAAATCAATAAACGAAACTTTTAAGTTGAAATTAACCTAATAAGCATATGTTCAATTCGAAGAGTTTTTTTTGTTGATAGGATTTGTTACTGACAACAACATGCCTATCCAATATAAAGAGGACTAGCATGGAAAAATCTAAAATTAGGAAAATGTTGTTCAATATAGAACTCATTCAAATTAGTTTAAAAAAATTGGGATTCCAATTAGTTCTGGATATAGTCCAAAAGCAAGGAAATTTCAAAACATCATTTAAATATGTTATAGAATGAACAACTTTTTTTTCGTACTGTTTCCAATGTTTCCATTTTGGCCTTCTTATACATTGTGTATATAGAATGAAGGCAAGTAGTAATAAGTAGTGGTAGTGAATTTTATTCAGATAAGCATAATCTACAATATGAATTTAAAATTAGAATTAGATTACTTGAGAAACTAGAAAAACCAGATTTTCTAATTGATCTCCACAAACTTCATTTGAAAAATATTTCACGACATATTTCGCTAACACAGTAGTTTTATTAACAGTGATTTGAATACTACAAGTTGCTTCTTACACAAATATTTATATACTACAGGTAACCATAATTGAGACTACCTCCAACAAATTAAAACCTCTTTCTGAGGTACCTCTTCAATTATGATTACCTGAAACATATTACCTCAATTCTACATCAATAATAATTCTTTCTTGGTTTTTATAAGAAAATTAGATTAATTAGACCAGTGGTTTCCTTTGTTACTGCATCATCAGTGAAATTATCAGAAAGGCTAATCAGTATCATCTTGAACCATTGTAACTTTCAACCAAAATTCAGTATACGGAATTCATATGACTTAATCGTCATAATCATCATCATCATCATTTATATTGATGAGATAGATAATCAAAATTATAGAGCTTTAACGTATTTTGCACAAACAACGGAAAAAGTGGCTTCATTTTTGAGGAAACGAGATATTGACATTTGAAATAGAACAAGTAATACGTTGGGAAAGTAAGTCAAAAATAATAAAGATGAAACATCCAAATTCGAGAAATCAGAAGTATATAAATTAAAGTGTGGAACGTGTCCTAAGGTATATATCGGTCAAACTGGCTGAACATTTAGGAATCGAATCCAGGAACATCATATGAGCTATGTAAATAAGAAAACAAGTTCAACATATTCAAATCATCATTTAGAAGAAAGTCATATCTTAAACGAAGAGGTCGAAATTTAACACATAGACAATAAAGGTTTGAAACTGAATAATTTGGAAGCAATGAAAATTAATGAACTTAAAAATTTAAACATTCTAATGAATGACCAACTGGATATGAATAGATCACCATTATTGAACTTGTTTTCTTTTATAATGAATACAAATAGCATAAAACCCATAGGAAACAAGATATTTGCAATTAATAAGTAAATGACCTTTATGACCTTTGACCTTGAAATATCTGTAGTTGCGGACATCCTGCGATAAGTAGGTTTTGAGACAAGTTTTAAGGTGTCAAAATGAAGGTTTGAACAAGGTTATAGCTGAGTATCTCTTATTTCGAGGTGAAACCCCTAATATTTCTGGTGTATACAATAGTTATTTGTTAGCAGATCGGTGATCTTCGCTGTTCTAATTTTCATTTTTTTCAATTGTCTTCATGAAGAAACAGACAGAGGCAAGGTACCTATGGTATTGACAAGGTATTGACAGTAATTTTCGTTTATTCAAAATGTATACCCAGATGCTGGAAAGTGAAGGATAATAACGATTTTGACAATACCAATGAAATAATTCTCATATTATTCGAGGTAAAACCATTTTTTTCAGACAAATTTAGAATATACAAAATTGGCGACATTTGATTTGATTTGGGCTTCTACAAAAAAAAGGTTTTATTTTAAATGCCTTGTCTAATTTTATATGCCTTGTGCGATTTCTATCATGTTGAGAGGGTTCAAATTATTTCAAATCATCTAAAGGAACAAATCGTTCCTTTATATGTATCAGAAAACAACTACTCCCCTGGCTAATACCAAGAAGGTGTTGGATTATATCCGACAGGTGTCAGTGCAGGGTTCTTCACTGAAGTTATTCCTGCATATACTGTTGGCGATACAACTGGCGCAATAGATTTTCAATTATTGGAACACACTTGCAGACCGGTTTCGGGCTGTTTGGTCACTTGTCAGTGCAAGTTATTGTATTGTATTGTATTGTATTATACTTTATTGGTCAGTGATACACGACATAATGTTTTGACAAGTCATTGACTACACCTAATCCTAAATCTAAATAATATTTGTTTATGATTAAAATATACATATTGGATTTCACATTAGTAAAATGGGTTTAATAATGTTACACACAGTTTATCTACCAATATTGATCAGAGATGTCATAATAGGCAGAGCATTGTAAGTGAGTTTTCAGTTTTGCTTTAAAAATAGCTATTGGAGCTTTTTTGATAAAGTCTGGTAGAGAGTTGAATAATCTGATACCAATACATTTTTCATTCGTAGAGGTTAATCTGTTTTATGGAATAGCGATATGGGATCTCATTATCTCATTCTAGTCAGATAATTGTGTTTATCTCCATTAAGTGTGTACAAATGCATGCGCGTTTTTATGTAGATTAGTTCATTGTGAATAATTGCTGACGGAAGTGTCAGTATTTTAAACTTAATGGACCACGGTTTACAGTTTTCAGTCTGAGTTATACCGGCCAGAGCTCTAATGGCTCTTTCTTGGATAATAAATATCGACAGGGTGTAGCAAGATTGGCCCCAGTTAATTAGACCGTAAGTCATAATACAGTGAAACATTCAATGGTAAGCAGAGGTGGCTGCCTCCAAGTTCACTAGCGATTTCATCAGTCTAATTGCAAATATTTCTTTTGATAAATTGCTTGTTAATTGATCTACGTGAAGTTTCCAATTTAAATAGGGATCAATAGTATGTCCTAGAAATTTTACGCTCTGTCTATCATCAACATAAAGTCGATGATTTCCGATAATATAAAATCGAGTTGATTCTGAGTATCATTCCTCGAACTAGGCTGAAATGGAAAACAAACAGCAGGTTTGTATTAGGTTTGTGATAAAAAGTAAAATAATTATATGACTAACTACCTATCCAACACTCTGTGGCAAAAGGATAACTCCAATGCCAATCCTTCCACACACACACACACACACACACACACACACACACACACACACACACACACACACACACACACACACACACATACACACACATACACACATACGCAGCAGGTTTGTCATCGCTCCATCCGCCTGTGAACGAGGCAACCAACCGCATATCCGAAATTTGACCAATTCCTCTTATAAGAAAAGACAACTTTCCACACATAGACAGTGGACATACTTGAAGACTGGCCTGAACGAATTGTTCCTTTAGATGATTTGACTTTTAGCCAGTCTTCAAGTATGCCCACTGACTATTTGTGCAAAGTATTTCATATTTACTAAAGTTACTGAATTGAAAAAAATCAATATTATCCATAACCAGATTTTGCATCGAACTTACACAGTTTTGCATGAATTTTGAACTTTGGGATAGACGGTATGTCAATATGTATAATGAATACCTATGACTTACTTATTTCACTCAAAGATTTGTGATTGCTGGGTGAAGCTGATTTCTTTGTCGTTTCACTAAACGGGCAACATACAATGACATCTAATCCTTCAAAGTCACAAATATCAGGTTGCTGCTGTCTGTTCAACAAATCTTGAGCATATTGACAACTTCTGATATGTTTGCATGATCCCTGTTGTCCTCTCGTTTCGCAATCTGAAAATAAATCAGGTAATTTTTTGATAAAAATAACAGTACTTCTTGAGATGATTTATTCCTACAAAAATCAACGGCAACCAGACCAACAGGTACACGCATAGATTTGATAATGTTCATACTTGCTTTCCCGGAGTTCCATCCATCTAAACTAGCTGATATACATTGCAGTGTTTCGGGTGGTGAAATGACAAAGTCAGAATTGAACTCACAACACAAACTAAACTAGTACACTAACATCAGTAAATTTCTTAACTACTGCAAAATATATACTGATGGATCAAAGACCGAGTATGGGGTGGGCTGTGCATTCCTTGTAGATGGACACCTCCATAGCTGATCGATGCACTCAACGACCATCGTATACACAGCAGAATTATACGCTATATACGAATCTTTACTATTCTGTGAATTTTCTCGATACGAAACTAATTTCCTACTTTGTACCAACACGTTGAGTTCCATAAGATCGTTTCAAAATAAATTTACCCTTGACCCACCTATGAAGATAACTCTTCTCAGAACTGATATTATGAAGGAAAGCGGTAGAACTGTCAGCTTCATGTGGGTGCCTAGTCATTGTGGCATAAAAACAATGAGGATGTGGATAAGGCAGCTAGAATGGTTGCTAACTCCATCGAACATGAAGATGAACCACTCCACTTAGAAGATCTGAAGAATTATAACAAAACCAAAGAAGAATCTGACTGGCAGACTCTTCGGAATGAAACTGACGCGAAACTGAAATGCTCAAAACTAAGTGTGAATAAGCGAATCTCACCATTGAAATTGACCAGAAAAGAACAAGTTGTTCTCACACGTCTGCGTATCGGCCATACAAAAATGACACACCTCTACTTGCTCCTAGGAGAACGACAATCTTCATGTATTACATGCCAAACAGCACTAACAGTACAACATATACTCGTAGAATGCCCAGAATATGAGGAAAATATGAGACATTATAACTGGGGCAATGAAAGAAATTCTGAAATGATAGACGAACGTTGAGCAACCTGATGACATTTTTGAAAGCTGCAGATATAATAGATGAAATTTGAAGAACAAATAGCACATACGAGTACGCGGCAAACTAGCAGTTGATGCCGCAAACAAAAAAAACTTCTTGAGAAACAGGACTTTTAGAAAAGAAAGTTTTTGGCTTTCTACTACTCCATCTGATACAAAAAAAATGGATATAAAAGTAATACACAATGTTGTATCAGATGGAGTAGTAGAAAGCCAAAAACTTTCTTTCCCAAAAAATTAATCACTCCTAAAAATATAACCCTTTCAAATCAGGACTTTTAGACTTTCTACTTCTCTATCGAACTACAGAAAAAATGAGCTCATAATCTCATAATCAGCGGTAGCACTTTCAGATGTTTTTTTCTTTTGTATCTGAAAGATACATGTGCATGATTAAGGTCCTCACTTTTTATACGATGATGGAGGAAAAAGTCAAGAAAGTTCTTCAGAATAATATTACTTTGAAAAATCGGGTGTTTCCAAACTAGAATTACAACTGAAGGGATGATTATCCAAAAATCTGAAACTCAAGTTTATAAAATTGAAAAAAAAATATTAACAAACTAATTTTTCACAGGTGGTGCATTGGCGAAGTGATCTAGTGAAATAGCCAGCATAGAAAGCATCTTCCCCGATGCTTTCAACACCTCTTATGCAAATTCTCAAGAGCTGCGACAGAAAATCGATTCAAAATCAACATCAGTATTTTTTATATACAGTGTGTGCGATTTCAAACCGCAACCCATGGAACCAATGAACTGATTTTGAAAAAGGAAAATTCAAG